CCCGGCCGCCTTTGTCATCCGACACACACCCACACGCGCTCACAGGGGCTAGAGGGAGGGGGATGGGGGCTGGGGGCTGGGGGGTAAGAGAGGCGTTTGGTGTCGGCCTCGTGCCACGAGGTGTCGAGACGAAGCGTCACAACGCGACCCGCGCTTGAAGGCCGGAGCGTGACCTCTGAACCGCGGTATGCCACCAGATGCGAGCGATCGACTTATCACGGCAGTCAAAGTCACACGGAGGATTTTGTCATTTCTCCGCTCGCGATGATATTCAGACTATTAATGTCGTCGCCGTTACAATTGAGAGCTCGAGGGTAAAGGCGCGGCTCTGCACGCGATTGGCACGTTTCACGACACTGCACAATGCCTGCGTGGTGGGCAAACGGGGGAGATTAAAATATCCCTTTGGGTGGAGCGAGCGAGCGAGTGGCTTGCAGCAATCTCAAGGGCGCGAGATGATTTCGTGGCTGTAGAAGTTGACTCAGCCCATCATCATCATCTCTACCTTCCTCCCGGGTCGATAAATCGGTACCACTTTGTATGGGGGAGGTGGTTGTCTAGTGGTAAAAAAAAAAATCGCATCTCACCACCCCCATTCCTCCCCCCACATCCTCGCCATAGGAATGTGGAATTTCCAATACTGGCTCTGCAGAGCTGTAAATAATAGATGAGGACTGATGCTTTAATTGTTTGAAATATAATGTTCGTTGGTAAAAAAAAAAAATCGTTGGTAAAAAATGGCTATTAATCACGCGTAACATCACACAAAGACAAAGATCCCCCTTATAGACACGACCCACATTTGGGGCAAGGGCTGTTCGCGAGCACATGTGAAAGATGGCACGGCAGGCACACGTCGTGGTGCATGGCCGGATTCTTACACACAGCACCAGGCACTCATTTAAGGCTGAGTCAACCTCAGGGAAAGCCGAGGTAGGACCTGTTCCGAAATCCATCACTGCTGGTGGACGTGAGCGCGAATCGAACTCAAGTTCCCAGGTTCAAAGCATCGTGGTATAACCACTGCGCCACTGCACCCCCTAACTAAACGCAAATATCCCCGTATAGCCTTAAACAGACTGTTGGGGCAAGTGTTGTTAGCGAGCCCACGCACACACACACACTGACACATCCCTCCCCCGTGCCTCGCCTGATCAATCCTCCCACCGCCTCTCACCCCCCACGTTTCGTCGCACAGACCCCCAGGACAGGCTGGGAAGAAGTTGGTTCAATAGGAATTCAATTCCTCCTGGTTGGAAGGGGGGGGGGGCTAAGATTCTATAGAACGTGTGGATGTGCAGTGGTTAGCGCGCCGCCCTGCCAATCCGGCGACCCGGGTTCGATTCCCGCTCACGGCCACCAACACCGGTGAGGATTATCTGAATCGGTCCTGGGCCTCCCCTTGGTCGACTCAGCCTCAAATGAGTACCAGGTGCGCTGTGTAAACATCATTGCTTGGGGAGACAAAGGCGGCCGGGCATGGCGTTGGACACTCACTCCCTCGTGCGCCGTGCCAGCTTTCATGGGTGCTGGTCGCTGGCAGCACTTGCCCCAACATTAAGTAAAGGGCTATCCGGGGGAACTTTGTCTTCTGTACGTATGTACATACGCATGCCAGTATATAAAAACCGTACTGATTTGTAGCGGTGTGTTAATCCACTGCTGGATGAATTGCTTCCTTCAAGCCGTCGCCACCGCCTCCTCCTCTCACAGTCGACCCCTGCGATGATGATGAGGATGATGATGATGAGGATGATGATGATGTTGATGATGATTATGATGATGATGAGGATGATGATAATGATGTTGATGATGATTATGATGAGCATGATGATGAAGATGATGATGTTGATGATGATGAGGATGATGATGATGATGTTGATGATTATGATGAGCATGATGATGATGATAATGATGTTGATGATGAGTATGAGGATGATAATGATGAGTATGATGATGATGATGATAATGATGTTGATGATGAGCATGATGAGGATGATGATGATGATTATGATGAGCATGATGATGATGGTCACCCGCCCGCAGAGCACCGGAACGCGACCGCATTCCATCGCGCTCCGCCTCCGCGTTGGAGGGTCTTCTCGGAAACGTTCCCTCTCAATTTGGCTGCCGGCGAAGGCCCCTGGGCTGGCCATAGGGGCCATCGAGGGGCAGCAGACCGCGGGGCAGCAGACTGGCTGGGTCCGGTCCATTCCGAGGGGCCGGTGGGGGACCCGGCCTCTGTGGGGGGATTGCAAAATGTTCTAAATTCATATTTTAGAACGTCTAATGAAGTGTTTTTAAATCCTTTATATTAAGTTCGCTTGCTTGCTTGCTTGCGTGCTTGCGTGCTTGCTTGCTTGCTTATGACCGTGCAAATCTTTCGGTCGTTTTTTAACACACTTCCCGTGATCCAATCGAGCTGACATTTTCCACACAGACTCGTTGTGCGTGACAATTAATTTTCGCGAATTTTTTTTTACACTGTTTATGGAAATTTTAAAAAATATTTAATTACCAATTGCTTAATGCTGGCAGACAATCATCTGACCCATAGGTGGCAGCCATCTCAAGCCAGAGGACGAGAGGACTCTAGCCGCCACGCATATAAAGGATTTAGAGTGAAAAAGTTTGTTTTTACGGGTTAATTTTTTTTCTTCTTAACATGGGGTGCACGCAACAACCATCCCCCCCCCCACCCCACCCCGGAGGTGCGGGATGCCCTTTCTGGGGGATGCGAGACATCGTGGCCAGATGTTTGTGTTGAAGGTAAATCACAGAAACACACAAATTAAGCACGGACACGCAAGTCCAACTAACGTTGTTTTATCAAACCCGATGTATTTATTAACTTTGTACAAACAAATTATGTTTACGATTGAGAACCCAAAGGGGTGCAAGGCTGCGGTGAAGGTTAAACACATTCCTCCTGCGGAGGGAGCTGGTAGGAACACGTTGGGTTGCTCGGTCAATGGCCTGCAGGGTCAACGACGGCGTGGTGTATTCCGCAAATATGGCCGACTGTGAGGGCGGGCACAAGCCGGCGTGAGTAGGTTAAACGTTGAGTTTTATAAGGGCACCACGGGGTGACCAGCCCCTCCCCACCCAGCCCCACCCCTCCCACCCCCACCCAGCCCCACCCTCCCCACCCAGCCCCTCCCTCCCCACCCAGCCCCTCCCTGCACGACGGACGGACACAATAATCCCCTGTGGGCTGGTGTAACCAGGAGGTTCCTACCAGTATAACCACTGCTCTAATGTGTACGCTCTCGGTTGGCATTAAATCCACATATTCGGCAGCCCCAAACATTCATCCTCACCGAAACCCTATATTTTTTTACCAACCTCAAATAGGGCCGATTTGAGAGGACCGCACGCCAAGTCGTGCCCGCTGTGTTCACACAAATTATTTTAGATTAATTCCCCACCAATCATCCCCCACTTTCTCCCTCTCCGTTCCAGCAGCAAGTCCCTCGTACATCAGGAAGCTGCCAGCAGCGTAGCTCGACACGCAAATTAAAAACTCTCCATCAAAAGGTTCGCACCGGCGCGACGCGCACCGCGTGTCAGCAGCGACGAGCGCGCTGCTGTGTAGGCAAAAGCGCAGCCATGCAACTGCTCGCCCTTACGCCAGCACGCTGCCTCTTACGCCAGCCAGGACGCTAGCTGGTTGTAAGAGGCCTCTGATCAGCAGCAGCAGGGAGGGGGGGGGTGTCAGCAACTAAAATAAGAAGGCAGCAGACATCGTTGCTGCTCGCAGCAGACACCGCGGATATCGCGGTTTTCACCTGAAGACGGGCGCTTGTGTTGCGTTCGAAACGTCGTGATTTATTTTTGTTTTATTCCGACCGACGTGACTTTACCGAAAGAACCAAAGAGTAAGAAGAAGAAGAGACGTTTCTTTTCCGAATCCGGTAAAACAACAACAACAAAAAGCTTCGATATATATTTCAAGAGCATCTGCAGTCCGCTGTGGGTGAGTGCAAGACTGGACGGGGATTCTTTCATGAAGAACGATCACGAATCGGTCCCGAGTGAGCCGCATGCTGCCAACACCGTATTTAGAGGGAGCTCGAGAGAAAGCTGCCCCTCTATAGGGCAGCGGGTGTTTTGGCCTACTCTTCCACACTGCTCAGAAAGTCACGCACGAGGATGCCCCCACGTTTAACGCGTCACGTGCTCGCGAACAGCACTCGCCCCAATCGCCTGTGGAGGCTACACGGGGGACCTTTGTCGTTATGACTGAGCCGTGTAATGTGTGTGTGTGTGTCTGTGCGTTAAATGAGTACCTGGTACGGTGTCTAAACATCGCCACTGGGGATACAAAGGCGGTCGGGCGTGGTGCTGGCCACCCACCCCCTCGTTCGTGTACCGTTCTGGCCTTCATAGGTGCTCGCTAACAGCACTTGCCCCTACAGTCTTCTAAGGCTATACGGGGGATCTTTGTCTTTGTCTCTGAATGTCCCTCTTGTAATTGTAATTCCGTTCCCGAAGTTCGCCCGTGATGCGGAGCGGTGGCGCAGCGGTTAGCGCACTGCGCTGCGAACCCGGCGACGCGAGGTCGATTCCCGCCCTCGACGAATAATAAAGTCGAGCCGTTCCGGTGCCACCACCTCCCCAAGGGTCGACTCAGCCTTAAATGAGCACCTGGCGCGGTGTGTTAAACATCAGCACTGGAGAGACAAAGGCGGCCGGGCGCGGTGTTGGCCACCCACCCACCGCCACTTGCCATGCCGGCCTTCACAGGTGCTACTCGCCGACAGCACTTGTCCCAAAAAGTCTGTTGAGGCTATACGGGCGATCTTTGTATTTGTCTTTGCGCGTGTTTAATTAACGACGAATGAATGGGGGTATTCCGATGACTTAATGCCATCGTTCTGGGCTCATTCACCCACCTTGCCTGTCCCAACTCGCTCCGCCCGCCCTCCACAGTGGAGGCTGGGCAAGTCGTGCGGCTATAAAAGCCCCAAAGATTCCGTGTCCCACCGCGTGCAGACAGCGCGGGTGTAGCCTTCAGCAGACTCTGTCCCTCTCTCTTGCTCTTACATACACACACGGCAGAATAGACATTACACGCATATGCACGTAGAGACAGCTATTGCTATATACGTGTATACATATAGATAAATAGCGTTAGATGTACACACACAGCTGTACATTACAAGACAAACTATACAGACACGTTTAGACAAGTTCAGGCGGACACACCGCCGCACACACGCACAGGCAAATCTAAGCACACGGATACGAATATCAGTCACACGTTTACACACATATCCTGAATATACAAAAATATAGATATACAGAGACGCACACACACATCTAATATACGTATATCAACAAGCAGATAGATAACACGTACAATTATCCACACATCAGTATACACGCAGAGAGACAGATCCCCCGTATCGCCTGAAGAACACACACACACGCACTTCAACACATACCTCCTTGCCTACCTCTCTCCTCCGTCTTCTCAGGCAGGTATTTCACGCCAATCAGCTGATTTATTATATTAACATACACTCACGATGGTCCGAAATCGTCGCGTATCCTCCTGCTGCGCATTGATCAAAGGCGCTCATGAATTATTGACGAACGCGTTTCGTGTTTTATTTGCGCTTGTGCATTACTGCCAGCGCATGCGTTTAGTTCCGTCCGGATGAGGATGGAAAGGCAAACAAACTCGTGTTTATCTACACGAAGAGTCATTATTGTTCATTTAGCCGATTGCTAAATGACCCCACACATCACCCGTGATGTCCATGATTCTCGCTGTAATTCCGAAAGTCGCTCTGTAAAGGTTTGCAGGTCTCGGTGTGAGTCCACATCTGTCGTTGTGCGCGTATGGGGATTCCGATGTAAGTTCACTTTCCTCTGTATGCCAGTGCGAGTCTCGGTGTAAGTTTAAGCGCGTCTCTATCCGAGTCTGAGTCCCTGCGTAAGTTTACTTTAGTCTAGATGCAAGCGTGAGTCTCTATTTCAAGTGTAGGTAAGTCTCGATGCGAGTCTGCGAGTTTCTATGTAAGATTACTTTAGTCTGCGTGCAAGCGTCTGAGTCTATTTGTAAGTGTAGGCAGGTCAATATGCAGGGCTGTGATTATCTACATGCATATGTGTACGTCTATATGTAATATAATTTTCTATTGTTGAATTTTTATTATTTTATTATTTCCCTTCTACGTGACTTTACCGAAAGAACCAAGAAGATGTAAGAAGCAGTTAAAATGTAGTTTGTTGTATACAACATTTATCTTGGTCTCATTTCACGATATACACAATCTCCACTGGCTCTTACATCTCTCCATGTATCAATCCGTGTACGAACCTAGGCACGTGTATGGGACGCGGTAGTGTAGCGGTCAGCGCGCTGCGCTACGAACCCGGCGACACGAGTTCGATTTCCGCTCACGGCCACCAACACGAGTGGCGATTATCTGAACCGGTCCTCGGTCTCCCCTAGGTCGACTCAGCTTCAAATGAGTCGGTAGCCAACATCAAAAGCAGCCGGGCGTGGTGGTGGCCATCCACTCCCTCGTGTGCCGTGTGGGTGTTCATAGGCAGTGCTACTCGCTAACGGCACCTGCCCCCAACATTGTGTTCAGGCTACAGGGGGGGTCGTTGCATTTGTCTTTGTTAGTGGTGGTTGTTGTTGTTGGTGGTTGTTGTTGATGGTGGTGGTTGTTGGTGGTTGTTGCTGTTGTTGCTGTTGTTGTTGTTGATGGTGGTTGTTATTGTTGTTGGTGGTTGTTATTGTTGTTGGTGGTTGTTGTTGGTGGTTGTTGTTGGTGGTTGTTGTTGGTGGTTGTTGTTGGTGGTTGTTGGTGGTGGTTGTTGTTGGTGGTTGTTGTTGTTGGTGGTTGTTGGTGGTTGTTATTGTTGGTTGTTGTTGGTTGTTGGTTGTTGTTGGTGGTTGTTGTTGTTGGTGGTTGTTGTTGGTGGTTGTTGTTGGTGGTTGTTGTTGTTGGTGGTTGTTGTTGTTGGTGGTTGCTGTTGGTGGTGGTTGTAAACCCCCCGGTTTTTCTCTCTTCGGACATTGTCGCTCAGCACCATGGACAGCGCCCGCCGCGCCCCCACACAGCTGCCCGCCGCCCCGCCCCCCGCGCCGCCGCTGCTGCTGCTGCTGTCGCTGCTGCTGCTGCTCAGCAGCAGCTCGCTGTGCGGAGTCGCGCGGGCCGAGTCGTCGCAGCAGCAGCAGCTGCAGCTCGAGTCGCGCTCCCTCGAGGAGTACCCCGCCAAGGACTTGGACGCGTCCCACGAGAAGGAACTGGTGAGAGGGAAGGGAGAGGGAGGGGATGGAGGGGAGGGGATGGGGGAGAAGGGATGATAGGGGATGAGAGGGGATAGGGGGGAAAGATGGGAGGGAGGGCAGGGGGGAGGGGAGGGGGTGATGGGGAAAAGAGGGAGGGGTGGAGGAGAGGGGAGGGGAGGGAGAGAGGGGAGGGAGGAGAGGGGAGGAGGGAGAGAGGGAAGCAGGGGAGGGGAGCAGGGAGAGGGAGGGACAGAGGAGAGGGGAGAGAGGAGAGAGGGGAGGAGGAGAGGGAGGGAGGGAGGGGAGGGAGGGGAGGGAGGGAGGAGAGGGATGGCGGGGAGGGAGGGGAGGGAGGGGAGGGAGGGGAGGGAGGGGAGGGGTGAAGGAGAGGAAAGGGGAGGAGGGGAGGAGGGAGAGAGGGGAGGAGGGGAGGGGAGTAGGGAGAGGGAGGGAGAGAGGGGAGATGAGAACTGAATGTAATCATGAAAGATTCAACACGTTCACTGATACCACCACGTGACCGTCGAAACTACTAAACTAAAAAGATGTTTAATTTTGTTTTACCATGACTTAAAGCTTTCGTGACTGCAGAAATTCATATTCTTGGGTCTTTCGGTAAAGACACGTAGATAGGTTCAAAGAAAATAACAAAAAGCGATACAGCCTTACCTGCTTAAATAAAACAAATGTTTCGTTTTTCAGTTTAAATATATAATAGGCAACGTTTTGGGCAACGGCCCTCCTTCAAAGCACGTCAAATGTTACACAAGATAACAATTCGCATCGTTGCGCTACGAACGCGGTGATCCGAGAGCGGCTGGTGCGGTGTGTAAACATCGCCACTGGGGAGACAAAGGCGCTCGGGCGTGGTGCTGGCCACCCACCCCCTCGTGTGCCGTGCCCGTCTGAATAGGTGCTCGCTAACAGCACTTGCCCCAACAGTCTTTCACTCTAGATTTGAAGCTTTCATGACTGCATGAATCCATACTCTTTGGTTCTTTCGGTAAAGTCACGTGGGTAGAAAATACATTATTTTTTATTTAAAAAAAAATCTTTTATTAAAAAATATATAAAATAAATTATTTTTTATTTAAAAAAAAATATATTTTCTTTAAAAAAATATATAAGATAAATTATTTTTTTATTTTTAAAAAAGATATTTTATTTAAAAAAATATATAAAATAATGTATTTTTTATTAAAAAAAATATATATTTTATTTTACACCTACATGACTTTACCGAAAGAACCAAAGAGTATGGGTCTTTCACTGGCTGTACGGGGGATCTTCGTCTTTGTTTGCTGTCCCACAGTTGGACGCATTGCAGAGTGTGCTGGAAAAGCTTCAAAACAAGAGGATGCCCAGCTGGGAGAAGAAATACGGACAGCTCCCCATCGTGAGATACCAATCACCGCGACGCGCACGGGACACAGTACCCTGGCTGACGCTGCCGCTGCCGTTGAAGTTGTTGTTGCGTTGGCAATGGTGCACAAGCACAGACAAACAACAACAAACCTCAACACTAATAGGGTTTTTCCCCTTTTTCTGGCAACAAAACTGACACCTTTTGCAAGGAATCATGCTTACATTAAATACAAAACTTGCAGTCAAATGCAAACAAAAAACAATACTCTGATAATTTATGCATTGTCTTTGAAACTGATTGGTCCACACCAGAGACAGCTTTCTTTAGAGCCTAGTCTCATATGGTACAAAAACGAAGCTTCATAGCTCATCGGATTTCTCCAGGATACAAAACATATTCTGATCCCTCTTCTAGGTTCTTTCGGCAAAGTCACGTAGAATGGAAATAATAAAATAATAAAAATAAAACATAAGAAAATCATTCTCACGACGTTTCGGCCACAACGCAAGCAGCCGTCCTCAGGTGGAGAGCAGGTCTGCCGAGTAGACAGTCTGAATGAGAGCAGGTCTGTCTACTCGACAGACCTGAGGACGGCTGCTTGCGTTGTGGCCGAAACGTCGTGAGAATTATTTATATGTTTTATTTTTATTATTTTATTACTTCCATTCTACGTGACTTTACCGAAAGAACCAAGAAGATGAATCCCTGCAGTCACGAAAGCTTTAAATCGAAATATTCGGATCCCCCCCTCTCTCCCCCTCGCCCCCTCCCTCCCCCCGTGCCAGTGCGATGCGGGCGAGTGGTGCGCGGTCCGCAAAGGGTCTCGCATCGGGAAGCTCTGCGACTGCACCCGTGGCACCTCCTGCAACTCGTTCCTGCTCAAGTGTCTGTAGAGGCCGCGGCGGGGTGGTTGGTGGGCTCCAGGGTTCGAAGTCGCGGGGTCAAGGGGCGCAAGGCCGCCTACACCACCACTCCCCCCCCACCAGCCCCCTCCGCGTTTGGCCACCCACTCTGTCGCCAGACGCCACGGATTTCACCAGATTCAAAAACTCGCTCGCTCGCTCGCTCACCACCGTCGCCGCGGATCCAGCCGACGATGACACGGTCGTCCATCACCAACAGCATCGTCATCAGCATCATCAGCAGCAGCATCAGCATCACAATTACTGCCATCAGCAATACCGCTCACTTCGTGAAACAGTTGATTACGCTAAAACCTAATTTCGCTAACGTTATCATGGTGACCTCGTCGTCGTCATCATCATCATTGTCGTCACCAATAACCAGAGGGTAATTAGTAGTTAATCAATAGCCACCACTCACCACCAACACAGTTGATAATGCTCATACAGCACAAATGACTCTAGTACTACCACTATCACCACAAATCGTCATGACAGCTATTATAATCACCGCCACCATCACCACTGCACGGCTAATACAGCTGATCCCACATTAATACCATCACCGCCATCATCACAATCCAATACCACCGACACCGATACGGCGGGCAAATAACAATACCAATGCCACTGCCATTCTCGCCAATGTCAGCATCATCAACAATTATAATCGCCAACATCTTCATCACCACCACCACCACCACCACAAGCACAACAATGAATGCTCCCACTCGCCACTGATACACCCGGGGAATACTGACACCAACAAGCGCATCATCATCATCATTAGAATCACAACCATCAACAGCTAACCAAGCACTACTGATACACGACCAATGACACTCCCATCGGCATCATCATGGTCACCGTTATAAAACAAAAACATCAGTCACTTCCATCAACGATACCACTGATACCAATGGTATCACACCACATTAGCAGCAATCGCGCCTACCTCCCGTCTCAAACCGGCATTACACCAGGCTTCTCACATCACGCGAACACCTACGAGTCGAATTGCTCCCTGCACTGGGAATTTATTTACAAACAACGACAACAAAAACGATTGCAACTATTGTTCTAGTCAGGAAGCATGCCGCATAATCACAGCGTACACTCTACAAAAGTTAGAACGTATTATTGTTATTGATTTGTTCTTATTGCTAAATGGATAACTTTATTGTACTTAGAACCCACTAATATAACCAAAAAAGTATTACAAATTAAGTGTCGTGTATCCTGATAGTTCAAGATTGTCTAGAGACCCCATCAGAGACCCGGTCTCCTGGTCCATCACTTTTTAGAGACCCCATCAGAGACCCGGTCTCCTGGTCCATCACTGCCTAGATACCTCATCAGAGACCCGGTCTCCTGGTCCATCACTGTGTAGAGACCCCATCAGAGACCCGGTCTCCTGGTCCATCACTGTCTAGAGACCCCATCAGAGACCCGGTCTCCTGGTCCATCACTGCCTAGAGACCCCATCAGAGACCCGGTCTCCTGGTCCATCACTGCCTAGAGACCCATCAGAGACCCGGTCTCCTGGTCCATCACTGTCTAGAGACCCCATCAGAGACCCAGTCTCCTGGTCCATCACCGCCTAGAGACCCCATCAGAGACCCGGTCTCCTGGTCCATCACTGCCTAGAGACCCCATCAGAGACCCGGTCTCCTGGTCCATCACTGCCTAGAGACCCCATCAGAGACCCGGTCTCCTGGTCCATCACTGCCTAGAGACCCATCAGAGACCCGGTCTCCTGGTCCATCACTGTCTAGAGACGCCATCAGAGACCCAGTCTCCTGGTCCATCACCGCCTAGAGACCCCATCAGAGACCCGGTCTCCTGGTCCATCACTGCCTAGAGACCCCATCAGAGACCCGGTCTCCTGGTCCATCACTGCCTAGAGACCCCATCAGAGACCCGGTCTCCTGGTCCATCACTGCCTAGAGACCCATCAGAGACCCGGTCTCCTGGTCCATCACTGTCTAGAGACCCCATCAGAGACCCGGTCTCCTGGTCCATCACTGTCTAGAGACCCCATCAGAGACCCGGTCTCCTGGTCCATCACTGCCTAGAGACCCCATCAGAGACCCGGTCTCCTGGTCCATCACTGTCTAGAGACCCATCAGAGACCCGGTCTCCTGGTCCATCACTGTCTAGAGACCCCATCAGAGACCCGGTCTCCTAGTCCATCACTGCCTAGAGACCCCATCAGAGACCCGGTCTCCTGGTCCATCACCGCCTAGGGACCCCATCAGAGACCCGGTCACCTGGTCCATCACTGCCTAGAGACCCCATCAGAGACCCGGTCTGCTGGTCCATCACCTTCTAGAGACCCAATCAGAGACCCGGTCACCTGGTCCATCACTGCCTAGAGACCCCATCAGAGACCCGGTCTCCTGGTCCATCACTGCCTAGAGACCCCATCAGAGACCCGGTCTCCTGGTCCATCACTGTCTAGAGACCTCATCAGAGACCCGGTCTCCTGGTCCATCACTTTCTAGAGACCCCATCAGAGACCCGGTCTCCTGGTCCATCACTGTCTAGAGACCCCATCAGAGACCCGGTCTCCTGGTCCATCACTGTCTAGAGACCCCATCAGAGACCCGGTCTCCTGGTCCATCACTGCCTAGAGACCCCATCAGAGACCCGGTCTCCTGGTCCATCACTGCCTAGAGACCCCATCAGAGACCCGGTCTCCTGGTCCATCACTGCCTAGAGACCCCATCAGAGACCCGGTCTCCTGGTCCATCACTCCTAGAGACTCCATCAGAGACCCGGTCTTCTGGTCCATCACTCCTAGAGACTCCATCAGAGACCCGGTCTCCTGGTCCATCACTCCTAGAGACCCCATCAGAGACCCGGTCTCCTGGTCCATCACTGCCTAGAGACCCCATCAGAGACCCGGTCTCCTGGTCCATCACTCCTAGAGACCCCATCAGAGACCCGGTCTCCTGGTCCATCACTGCCTAGAGACCCCATCAGAGACCCGGTCTCCTGGTCCATCACCGCCTAGAGACGTCATCAGAGACCCGGTCTCCTGGTCCATCACTGCCTAGAGACCCCATCAAAGACCCGGTCTCCTAGTCCATCACTGCCTAGAGACCCCATCAGAGACCCGGTCTCCTAGTCCATCACTGCCTAGAAACCTCATCAGAGACCCGGTCTCCTAGTCCATCACTGCCTAGAGACCCCATCAGAGACCCGGTCTCCTGGTCCATCACTGCCTGGAGACCCCATCAGAGACCCGGTCTCCTGGTCCATCACTGCCTAGAGACCCCATCAGAGACCCGGTCTCCTGGTCCATCACTGTCTAGAGACGCCATCAGAGACCCGGTCTTCTGGTCCATCACTGCCTGGAAACCCCATCAGAGACCCGGTCTCCTGGTCCATCACTCCTAGAGACTCCATCAGAGACCCGGTCTCCTGGCCCATCACTGCCTAGAGACCCCATCAGAGACCCGGTCTCCTGGTCCATCACTGCCTAGAGACCCCATCAGAGACCCGGTCTCCTGGTCCATCACCGCCTAGAGACCCCATCAGAGACCCGGTCTCCTGGTCCATCACTGCCTAGAGACCCCATCAGAGACCCGGTCTCCTGGTCCATCACTGCCTAGAGACCTCATCAGAGACTCGGTCTCCTAGTCCATCACTGCCTAGAGACCCCATCAGAGACCCGGTCTCCTGGCCCATCACTGTCTAAAGACCCCATCAGAGACCCGGTCTCCTGGTCCATCACTGCCTAGAGACCCCATCAGAGACCCGGTCACCTGGTCCATCACTGTCTAGAGACCCCATCAGAGACCCGGTCTCTTGGTCCATCACTGTCTAGAGACCCCATCAGAGACCCGGTCTCCTGGTCCATCACTGCCTAGAGACCCCATCAGAGACCCGGTCTCCTGGTCCATCACTGCCTAGAGACCCATCAGAGACCCGGTCTCCTGGTCCATCACTGTCTAGAGACCCCATCAGAGACCCGGTCTCCTGGTCCATCACTGCCTAGAGACCCCATCAGAGACCCGGTCTCCTGGTCCATCACTGTCTAGAGACCCCATCAGAGACCCGGTCTCCTGGTCCATCACTGTCTAGAGACCCCATCAGAGACCCGGTCTCCTGGTCCATCACTGCCTAGAGACCCCATCAGAGACCCGGTCTCCTGGCCCATCACTGCCTAGAGACGCCATCAGAGACCCGGTCTCCTAGTTCATCACTGTCTAGAGACCCCATCAGAGACCCGGTCTCCTGGTCCATCACTGTCTAGAGACCGCATCAGAGACCCGGTCTCCTGGTCCATCACTGTCTAGAGACCCCATCAGAGACCCGGTCTCCTGGTCCATCACTGTCTAGAGACCCCATCAGAGACCCGGTCTCCTGGTCCATCACTGCCTAGAGACCCCATCAGAGACCCGGTCTCCTGGTCCATCACTGCCTAGAGACCCCATCAGAGACCCGGTCTCCTGGTCCATCACTGTCTAGAGACCCCATCAGAGACCCGGTCTCCTGGTCCATCACTGCCTAGAGACCCCATCAGAGACCCGGTCTCCTGGTCCATCACTGTCTAGAGACCCCATCAGAGACCCGGTCTCCTGGTCCATCACTGCCTAGAGACCCCATCAGAGACCCGGTCTCCTGGTCCATCACTGTCTAGAGACCCCATCAGAGACCCGGTCTCCTGGCCCATCACTGCCTAGAGACGCCATCAGAGACCCGGTCTCCTAGTTCATCACTGTCTAGAGACCCCATCAGAGACCCGGTCTCCTGGTCCATCACTGTCTAGAGACCGCATCAGAGACCCGGTCTCCTGGTCCATCACTGTCTAGAGACCCCATCAGAGACCCGGTCTCCTGGTCCATCACTGTCTAGAGACCCCATCAGAGACCCGGTCTCCTGGTCCATCACTGTCTAGAGACCCCATCAGAGACCTGGTCTCCTGGTCCATCACTGCCTAGAGACCTCATCAGAGACCCGGTCTCCTGGCCCATCACTGCCTAGAGACCTATCAAAGACCTGGTCTCCTGGTCCATCACTGTCTAGAGACCTCATCAGAGACCCGGTCACCTGGTCCATCACTTTCTAGAGACCTCATCAGAGACCCGGTCTCCTGGTCCATCACTGTCTAGAGACCTCATCAGAGACCTGGTCTCCTGGTCCATCACTGTCTAGAGACGCCATCAGAGACCCGGTCTCCTGGTCCATCACTGCCTAGAGACCTCATCAGAGACCCGGTCTCCTGGTCCATCACTGCCTAGAGACACCATCAGAGACCCGGTCTCCTGGCCCATCACTGCCTAGAGACCCCATCAGAGACCCGGTCTCCTGGCCCATCACTGCCTAGAGACCTCATCAGAGACCCGGTCTCCTGGTCCATCACTGCCTAGAGACCCCATCAGAGACTGGTCGTTCTGAGCTTTAATTTAACCCTACGTCAAATTAGATTTTCCGACATTTAAAACGATACGCGATGACACACATCGTACAGTGATAGTTCGTTTTTAGTGACTCGCAAGCACAAATGACAACACCAACAACTTAACACATTAATCAATACTACTTTTGCCTTTAAAGTCAAAAAATATATAATAATTTGCCATGAAGAAGCGATATTGGCGGAAACATCCCCTATTATATACCGTATGTTTCAATTTTAAGGCCACCCAAAGTGTTATGGGACCAGTGTTGAATCATTTCACATTAATTACGGACACGATAAATGATTATTCATTAATAACAATGTTGATAAACCATCATTAACATTTACAAAAGCCATGTTTTTGCAGACGAGATGGCTAGTCTCAGCGCGCTCGGGGCTGGTGAATAGGGCATTCAAGTTAACGTGGAATACATGAACACACACAGAGACACATCGCTATCCACATGCACAAACGGTACACCCAATCACATGGTCAGAATCACACGTACCCGCACACACACACACATTTACAAATATGAACACACACAGACAGACAACTATCCACGTGCATACGTTCAATGAGCACAAAGACACAGACGCATATATTTAAACTGACACACACACATGTGTACAAATACATATTAAAGACACTGATACATGATATCTACATGGACAAAAACAGCGACCCCCGTGTAGCCTGTAACAGACTGTTGGGGCAAGTGCTGTTAGCGAGTAGCACCTATGAAGGCCGGCACGGCACACGAGGGGGTGGGTGGCCAGCACCACGCCCGAACAAAGACACACAAAGACACAAAGACCCACAAAACAAATACACACAAAGACACACAAAGTATGGAACAAAAACAAGAATAGGTTTTACCATTTGATACTGCCAAAAAAAGGTCCCATTTTTTTTAGACACGCAAAAAAATACGCGCGCACACAAGGACACGCACCGCACGCACATTAGATTGTTACAACACAGCATGCGTTTTAATGATTCACAAATTCACGTCTATGAGCTAAGGCGATGTGACGTTGCTTGCGGCGCGGGGCGTCCTTGCTAAGTGGCACACGGCAGCCGTGTGTTTGGCTGCTACCCAGTAAAGCATGGAAACGTGGACTTAATGTTCGTACATGATGATGCATGTGTAAATGGTGTAAATGGGATCGCTGTGAAATCTGGGAGGGGGGTTGGGGAAGGGGGCAAAAAAAAACCCCGAGAGAATCGTTTTGTCAGCTTTTCCCATGTGCCATCCGTGTAGAATTAATCTGCGTATTAAATTGTCGCTGTCGGAGAGATGTGTCTGGCTATCATCACTGACTCATCACGACGTCCTGTGTCACTCAGCCATCATTAACACACACCCAGGCATTCGCCACGAAGTGACGGTGATCGTCACCACGGCGCCTGTGCCAGGCTAGGTGCACGTTGTGGCCACGTGAAATGTTGAAGGCTCGCTGCTGACAGGAGGTCACGGGACAGACCCAGCAGGTGCCATGGGTTGACTGAGACGACTGGCTGATGCACCACCTGTGCCCCCTACTGTGCCAACTTGCTGTGCTTTAGCCACCCGGCGCTCCGCTCGTTGTTGTGAGCGTCGCTCCTCCGCCCTCTGTTGTTGTTGGAGGGCGACTGCCTCCAACTGGCCAGTAGCGTCCTTCACGAGCCTCCTCCACAGAGGCCGATCTTGACACCGCTGGTACCAGTCATCGGCAAGTCCACTCAGCTCCAAGTCCTCCTGTACCACATCACTCCATCTCTCCTCCAGCCCATAATTAAACACGCGCGCACACAAAAATTCGACACGTTTGCCAATAACACCGTGGCCTCAAAAGAAAAAAAAAATTAAAAGACGACGTTTCGGGCAATGACCCGTCTTCATGGCACCACTTGTTCACCACTGCCAACGCAGCGTCACCATTATAATGTGTTTAATCAATAACCAATCAAAACGTCCCCCATGTGTTCGTCATCGTGGACCAATCAAGATCGCTCCCTGGGTGTTGCTGATTTCACGCTCTCCGTGTCACTCCGTCTTCACTAACCAATCAGAACGAACCCTCGGTGTCACTACGTCATCATCGACCAATCAGAATGCTCCTCCGGTGAGGATGAGTCTTTGCTCACCAATCAGAATGTCATTGTGTCAGATACATCATCACTGACCAATCAGAACGAACGGCCGGTCTCACTCCGTCATCGCCGACCAATCAGAATGTTCCTCCGGTGAGGATGCGTCTTCACTGACCAATCAGAATGTCATTGTGTCAGATACATCATCCCTGACCAATCAGAACGAACGGCCGGTCTCACTCCGTCATCGCCGACCAATCAGAATGCTCCTCCGGTGAGGATGCGTCTTCGCTCACCAATCAGAATGTCATTGTGTCAGATACATCATCACTGCCCAATCAGAACGAACCTCCGATGTCACTACGTCATCATCGACCAGTCAGAATGCTCCTCCGGTGAGGATGCGTCTTCACTCACCAATCAAAACGTCATTGTGTCAGATACATCATCACTAACCAATCGGAGCGCTCTCTCTGTCATCGGTGACCAACCTGAACGACGACCACCCCCACCCCCCTTTGTTTGTCTATGACCTCTGACCAATCAGATCGTCCGCACTGCGTTCGTCCGTCATCCCGAACCAATGAGAACCGCCGCATTGGAATTCCGAAGCGAATCTCTGATGGGGCACGTGATGCCCTCCTGCTATCAAAACACATTCCTGCGGAGGGAGCTGGTAGGAACGTTGGGTTGCTCGGTCAATGGCCTGCAGGGTCAACGGCGGCGTGGTGTATTCCGCAAATATGCCCGACTGTGAGGGCGGGCACAAGCCGGCGTGAGTAGGTTAAACGTTGAGTTTTATAAGGGCACCACGGGGTGACAAGCCCCTCCACACCCAGCCCCTCCCACCCTCCCCACCCCACCCAGCCCCTCTCCACCCTCCCAGCCCCTCCCTCCCCACCCAGCCCCTCCCCACCCAGCCCCTCCCTCCCCACCCAGCCCCTCCCCACACAGCCCCTCCCCTCCCCAGCCCCTCCCTGCCTCCCAACCCTCCCCACCCAGCCCCTCCCTCCCCACCCAGCCCCTCCCTGCACGACGGACGGACACAATAATCCCCTGTGGGCTGGTGTAACCAGAGGTTCCTACCAGTAATATTCAGAAGCTGAATATGTATCCTGGAGGAATCCGATGAGCTATTCAGTTTTTTTTTTGTCACAGACATCAAATAGTTTATTAGGCTCGTTCACCCGGGAAAGCCTCCCCGAGTCTCAATACTTAATTTTCAGGAGGGTCCTGCCAAGTCTCCGCGGTTATTAATCCACACTTGCAATGACTTTTAATTTTGCTTTCAATCTCATAGTTTAGTACGAAATATTGTGACGTTTGTAGTTGAAACAGCGTTCAAATATGCTGTAATTGTAGTCCGAAGTAATCAAATTGCATTCAACCTGTCGAATATGAAACCCTTAGCCATATTATCTGAATTTGTAATTAAATGTAGAATTTGTAATTAATTACAAATTAACTAAGCAATGTCGTGGGTCATAATTCGACGCAGTGCAAAAACTTTACATATTCGTCAATAACACTGTCTGGCCTTAAAATGAAAAATAATATGAATAATAGGCGAAGTTTTGTTCAATGGCCCATCCTCACAGCCACACGAATCGTAACGCAAAATAAACAGAAAATAAAAATATAAGACCCTCGGTGACGTCATTACAACTCGACGCCGGGCTGTCGGCCATTTGTAAACACGCTCCCCTACCCAAGATGGCCGCCGTGACGTCACGTTCATTACGCGCAGAAAAAAATCGAACGGTGCTCGCGGTTTGTATGCGTACAGTGTGCTGTGTAAGCTTGTACATTTTAAAACGTACTACTCGTAAGAGCGGCATTCGCAAAACCTACCCCTTGTTCAACAAACATTCCCCGCTGCCCAACGACATGACGTCACCGCGTTACGCAGTGGGGTTAGATTTGACGTGACGTCAGCCTCGTCCGGCGCTGGTTACGTCATCGCGCAAAAGGCGTAACTCCTCCCCCCTCCCCGCGCATTACGTCGTGACGTCATGCGCCAAACCAATTAGCGCGAAGTGGTGACTCGATGGGAGGGACGTCACGACGTAACGCGTATTCTTTGTGTCTTTCGGTGACGTCACGAAGATAAAAAAAATAATAACAATAAAATAATAAAAAATAAATTGAATAAAAAATAAGAAAAACATCACGACGTTTAGTTTGTTTCCTGATGACGATTAGTTTCATTTTCATTTTTATTATTTTATTGAAAGAAAAATTTCTATCTTCGTGACTTTGCCGAAAGACCCAAAGAATATGAATTCCTACGGTCACGAAAGCGTTACGTCACCACGTAAAGCGTGATCGGCTCGTGACGTCACGACGTAAAGCGTGATCGGCTCGTGACGTCACGACGTAACGCGTGATCGGCTCGTGACGTCACGACGTTACGCCGTGACGATGGGGGAGGGGGGCGTGTTACCGTGAGGTGATCCGGGGGGGGGCGGGGCCCCCTTACGCGATGACGTCTTCGCAATTCGAATCCCACTGCGGCGGCGGTACGCGATGACGTCATGACGTCGGTACGTGGTGACGTCACGACACCGGCCAGTGTGTGTGTGTGTGCGTGGGGGGCGGAGTGTTGAACAACGGTGAGTTTTTGCGATCGCGATATTTAGAGAATTATTTCTTTACTCTTAAACGTTTACGCTCATTTACATCGATTCAACGGCGACAGTCTTCCGTGCGGATTGCAGACAACTTGTACGTTTAGGCGTCATCGTGTTAATGTTGCCAGCGTGAGGGACACGTGAACGCCGCTGTTCAAGCGTTAACGTGACCTTAGTGCGCCATTAGCGTGCAGTTTACATGTAGATTGTATGTTACATGCAGCGTAGGTTATGTCATGTTTAGCCTTACTACGTCTAGACCCATCGTGTGGACTGTGTGCGTGTCATGTATAGACCGTGTCATGTAGACTGTGTGTGTCATGTATAGACCGCGTCATGTAGACTGTATGTGACATGTATGTGTCATGTATAGACCGTGTCATGTAGACTGTATGTGACATGTATGTGTCATGTATAGACCGTGTCATGTAGACTGTATGTGACATGTATCTGTCATGTATAGACCGTGTCATGTAGACTGTATGTGTCATGTAGACTGTATGTGTCATGTATAGACCGTATCATGTAGACTGTGTGTCATGTATGTGTCACGTATAGACCGTGTCATGTAGACTGTATGTGACATGTATGTGTCATGTATAGACCGTGTCATGTAGACTGTACGGGACATGTATGTGTTATGTATAGACCGTATCATGTAAACTGCATGTGACATGTATAGACCGTGTAATGTAGACTGCATGTGACATGTATGTGTCATGTAGACTGTATGTGTCATGTATAGACGGTGTCATGTAGACTGTATGTGACATGTATAGACCGACAGTATCATGTGACTGTGTATTACCGCTTCTTATATAGACTGTTACACATGGAGTGCATGTCAATAAATATACATGTGTGTGTTTCTCATGTCAAGACTGCATGTGATATACATGCTGTCTCAACTATAGAGGCTTAAGTATAATGTATAGACTGTGAGTCATTGACTAGCGTGGTGAAGTATGGTCAACGACCCCCGTGATTTCACGGAGGGTTGCATTTACACAGATTAGAATTATGGACTGTTTGTTAGATGCTGTTTCATACGGTCGTGTATGGACTCGAATCGATAGTAGGTCACATACACAACATTATACACACACACACACAGCATTATACATACACACACAACATTATACATACACACACACAACATCACACATACACACACAACATTATACATACACACAACATTATACATACACACACAACATTATACACACACACACAACATCATACATACACACACACAATATTATACATACACACACACAACATTATACGTACGCACACAACATTATACACACACGCAACATTATACATACACACACAACATTATACATACACACACAACATTATACATACACACACAGCATTATACACACACAACATTATACATACACACAACATTATACACACACAACATTATACATACACACACAGCATTATACATACACACACACCATTATACATACACACACAACATTATACATAGACACACAACATTATACATACACACACAACATTATACACACACAACATTATACATACACACACAACATTATACATACACACACAACAGACCAAGCCAGTTCTATAAATGCTGTAGTCGTGACACTCATCGTATGTCACATACAGAGACCGTGTGATGTCGTGTCCTCACATCCATGTACAACATCAACACTCGCCTGGATCACGTGTCACAATTGGCTGGACTTGCAAGTCACGATTATGTATCCCCTTGTAGTAATGCCCAGGGAGGATGTGAACTCATCAGATCTGAAAAACTAAGCAAAGTCTCGAGCCTGGAGCGTGCGTGGATGGATGTTGACCGCAGTGGCACGGCTTGGTGTCCGTTGTCAGCCGAGACGCACGAACATAGAACTCCTCTTTTTACGAACGACACTTAAGATGTAGATGCCACTGGTTCTTCACGTTCTGCAGATGTAGATGCCACTGGTTCTTCACGTTCTGCAGATGTAGATGCCACTGGTTCTTCACGTTCTGCAGATGTAGATGCCACTGGTTCTTCACGTTCTGCAGATGTAGATGCCACTGGTTCTTCACGTTCTGCAGATGTAGATGCCACTGGTTCTTCACGTTCTGCAGATGTAAATGCCACTGGTTCTTCACGTTCTGCAGATGTAGATGCCACTGGTTCTTCACGTTCTGCAGATGTAGATGCCACTGGTTCTTCACGTTCTGCAGATGTATATGCCACTGGTTCTTCACATTCTGCAGATGTAGATGCCACTGGTTCTTCACGCTCTGCAGATGTAGATGCCACTGGTTTTTCACATTCTGCAGATGTAGATGCCACTGGTTCTTCACGTTCTGCAGATGTAGATGCCACTGGTTCTTCACGTTCTGCAGATGTAGATGTCATTGGTTCTTCACGTTCTGCAGATGTAGATGCCACTGGTTCTTCACGTTCTGCAGATGTAGATGCCACTGGTTCTTCACGTTTTGCAGATGTAGATGCCACTGGTTCTTCACATTCTGCAGATGTAGATGCCACTGGTTCTTCACGTTCTGCAGATGTAGATGCCACTGGTTCTTCACGTTCTGCAGATGTAGATGCCACTGGTTCTTCACGTTCTGCAGATGTAGATGCCACTGGTTCTTCACGTTCTGCAGATGTAGATGCCATTGGTTCTTCACGTTCTGCAGATGTAGATGCCACTGGTTCTTCACGTTCTGCAGATGTAGATGCCACTGGTTCTTCACGTTTTGCAGATGTAGATGCCACTGGTTCTTTACGTTCTGCAGATGTAGATGCCACTGGTTCTGCAAGATGTAGATGCCACTGGTGACTTTATTGAAAGGAAAATTAATATATTTTTTGGCACGTCAAAGTGTGCAATACTTCTCCATTTGAATGCGCCCGTCGGCGGGAGGGTGGTGGATGTTGTGAGGAGTGGGGGGAGATGAGATCCAGAAATAAAGGATAAGGAGTTAAAGGATAAGGAGATTACCCTGACGGATATAGACTTGTTGTGCACCCCATAAGGCCCATCAACCAACTAGTCAAGGGTGTCCATGCCTCTTGGCATCGTTATCTTTGTCATCAGCAACAGGAACAGGGGCAGTCCTCGACTTAAGAACGTGGTTACGTTCCCAAGACGATTTGCTTGTATCTCGGAACTCGATGTTTTATATTTAATCGCGTGTATTATTTTGTTAAACTCGTAACTAAAAGGGAATATTGCATGTTAATACTGTTATGGATACCGTTTAATAAATGGAAAAGATAAAGTGGTGCAGCGATTGTGTCGAATAAACGGTCGACTCAGCCTTAACTGAGTGCCTGGCCGCGGTGCATACAAAACATCAGTTCGATTTTGCCAATATCTAAACGTTGGCTCTTTGAAAGCCATCAAAACAATTCGATTTTACTCCCAAGATTAATTTTTTTTGGCTGCAAAAGTGGCTCGGCGGGATTCGTCCCGCGTGCCAGCAGCTCTGCCAAAAAAAAATCTGTCCGTCATGCCCTGAAAGCGGTCGTCGATATTTCCTCACGCGTGCTGATGGTTCGTCGTGAAAGTAACAGCGTTGATGCCACGATTGGCCAAGCCGCTGGCTCAGAAGTCCGAGTCAGCATTCGTAGCACACGGCCTTGTAACCAAAGCGTGCGGACAGATTTGCGAAACTCAGCGGGGCCGGTCCAGTGAGAGTCGCCGGAAACGCACGGATGTTAGAGAAGGGTCGTTGTGGTGAGATTCTTTCTTTAGCCAGGACAATTTAGAGGCTTTCAGAGTTTTTGCTCTCCATTATCCACGCGTGCGGTTTATCCGACTTGTGGATTAACCGCGCACCTGAGATTGACGCAAATGGATAAATCTTGGATTTTCCCTCGGAAGCCCAAATTTATGGTCGATCAAACAGTTGTACATCGTTGTTCTTGGAAATGTTTCTTGCAAGTCACGTGTGCTTAAATGGAAAAAAAATATGTTGCTCCGGTTAATCCGAAATCAAACGTGACCGCCTCTACGGTACGGTGGTTGCATATCTTTTTACAACAGTGGGTGGCGGAGTTTGATAATTTTTGGATAATCCGTGATTTTTAATGATCCATTGCCATCCTCCCCGTCATTCGCGCGGATAATCGAGAAGTCGGCAATTTTTTTTTATTTCTGTTCAGCGCTTGGAACACGATGTTATTGGCAAAAGGTGCTTTGTATCAAACAGTTATTTTTGTCTTGATTTGAAGCTTTCGTGACTGCAGGAATCCATACTCTTTGGTTCTTTCGATAAAGTCACGTGGGTCGAAAAAATAAAATAAATCACGACGTTTCGATCGCCACACTACCAATCGTCTTCTCTCCACCCACCTGAAGACGGTTGCTTGTGTGGCGATCGAAACGTCGTGATCTATTATTTTTTCGACCTACGTGACTTTACCGAAAGAACCAAAGAGTATAGTTATTTTTGTCATTAATTTACCCTATTTTTTTTATAAACAATGAGAATGAACATTCAGCCGTAAACCATCGTGCCTTTCCTTGAAACGGGCGTTTGGAGATGGTTGAAAAGAAAAAAAAACGTAAACATTGAAACTGTTTTCTCAGGTTAATGAACAAGCGTCCCCGTGTCCAGTCGAGCGAGAGAGTTTGTAATCATGTCAGGTGAGATTGCACTCCAACACCATGCGTATCAACGCTCTTTTGTGTCTTTTCAAAGTGCGGAACGCCTGCTGTTCCTTTGCAATTCTTCCCGTTCCCGGCCTACGACTCAGACTCAGAACTTTGATTCGGACTGCAGGAGGAATCCGATGAACTATAAAGCTCTTTTTCTCACAGATGTCCAGTTCCTGGGGAGATGGGGGTGGTCAGAAGCGTACAACAACACACGATACAAATAACACGATAAAAATGCACATTATAGCAAAGGTAAACAACTCACAAGCAATTCAAAGTTGTTAAAATGTTTCCCCAGTTTTATTTTGCACCATCCAGGCTCAAAATCCCTGCTTAGCTTCTAAGATCAGATGATGAGATCGCGTTGCATTCCACGTGATTTGGTCACATGCTTACAAATACAAAAGACTAAGATCCCTCCTATTATAGCCTTAAAGGACCGCGGGGGCAAGTGCTGTTAGCGAGCTCCTCTGAAGGCCAGAATGGTACACGAGGGAGTGGGTGGCCAGCACCATTCCCGACCACCTTTGCCTCCCCAATGGCGATATTTACACACTGCACCATGTACTCTTTTGAGGCTGAGTTAACCTAGGGGAGGCCCAGGACCAGTTCAAATAATCGTCACTGGTGTTGTGCCTTGAGCAGGAATCCAACTCGGGCCGCCCGGGGTATCGTAGGGCAGCGTAGCGCAAATCGCTGAACCGCTCCCCACAAGATAAACAACAGCAGTTGCAATAATGCCCCATCACCCTCCCACCGTCATCTACTGCAAAAGCTTGGTAGGGCCCTCCAGAAAAGAGTCTTGAGACTCTGGCGAAGCATTCCTGCTTCATAATAGTAGCCATAGCGATGATAATAATGACAACAATGCGTCCGTTTGTTTGCAGAGAAAGAAAATAACTTCCCCCCACTGCCCAAGTTCATTCGGCTGAAGCCGTGTTTCTACCAGGACATCGAGGGCGACATTCCTCCGCCACACACGCAGACCGTCAAGCGGCTCTACTACCTCTGGCTATGTACGTACGTGTGTATGTATGTTGTATGTGTGTATGTCGTATGCATGTATATTTTATGCATGTTTGTGTGTATGTTTGTTTTGGTGTACGTATGTACGTGTGTACGTTTCTATGTTTTAACTCCTTTCGCAGCGTACGTGCTCATCGGAGGTGGCGGGGGGGAAGCACACCAAACGAAACACAAATAGCAGTTTTTAAAGAAATGAGTTTGTCCATCTAGATCAGGGGTGGGGAACCTTTTGTCTGCCAAGGGCCATTTGGATATTTATAACATCATTCGCGGGCCATACAACATTATCAACTTAAAAATTAGCCCGTTATATTTGGTCAAACATTTAATTAACTCGCCCCTAATGCGATGGCTGGAACTGCTTCTCTTTGGCGAGGCGTGTGATGATGTTAGCTGGTATTGATGATGTTGCTACTCGCAACTGCTTTTCTAGGTTTGCTCCTAGATTTATTGAATTTCGAGTCCCACCTGCGGTTGCCTTGGCAGGGCCACATCAAATGATATACGGCCCACGGGCCGGACATTCCCCACCCCTGATCTAGCTGATGAACTAAACGTGCATAACTCTAATAGCTTCCTAATATCGTAAGGAAGAGTGTTCCAGACGGCCGCAGAAGCGCACCTGAAAGCGCGCGATGCGGTGACCACCGTCTTTGTCCGACGGCCAGCCAGAAGCCGCTGCGGCTGCTGCGAGGATGGCCGGAGTTTGCGTGATGACGGTTTCGGTTTTCAACGAGGCGCCCTGGTTCGGTGGTGGGCAGCAGCACTCCCTGTGTGTTGAACGAGCTCGACCCCGGAACGCATTAGTCCGCGCGTCACAAATCACGGTCGTGCTTTCCCGTTGGACGTTTCAGTGCAAGGGCTGACGCTGGCCGTGAACCTGATCGGATGCCTCGCCTGGATCATCGGCGGGGGCTCGGCCACCAACTTTGGCCTGGCCATTGTGTGGCTCCTTCTCTTCACACCGTGCTCCTACGTCTGCTGGTTCCGTCCCATCTACAAAGCCTTCAAGTAGGTCGAAGCAGAGAAACAATCTCTCCATTGGGGCGGGGGCGTTGTGGGGGTTTGGTTCATAATGGCCGGGCCGAAGACACCTCGACAGCACAGCGCTGAGTTTAAACCCTCGGCTTTGGGTGTCTCAAATACTCGCCACGGTGGCAACATGTTAACTACCTCGCCTGGAATACGGGAGCTATTGGGTTCGATCCCGACCCTGACACCTGCTGCTGTACATTTGGAGTTTGCGTGTCTCTCTCCCTGTGACCGCGTGGATTTTTCTCCGGGTCCTCCGGTTTTTCCCTCCACAGTTAGAATCGACATGCGTTCAGAGTATTTGGCTGCTTTAAGTTTCCACCACTTAAGTGGGCTATCATTTTGTGATTGCCAGGTCGCTTCTGAAAAATAACTATATAGCGCAGTGGGGCCTTACCTGGTAAAATAACAAAGAACTGTTTCATAATTGAGCTCATAATGGGCGGGTCAAAGACACCGACACAGCACAGCTGACGCTCTGGAGTTCAAGCCAAGGGAGCGATGCCTCTCTAAGCGGATTTATAATGGCCGTGTCGGAGACACTGAGTCAGTGCAGCTGAGATGTTGCACTTGAGCTCGTGGTTTGGGCGCATCTCCGTTTCTCGGGGTTCATGGTGGCAATGCTGGCATCACCGAACCACTTACACCCTGTCGCGTGTCCGAGACGACTGCAGCTTGCAGGGCGTGGGTGTTCCCCCGTCCACCGCTGGATCTCGGGACGCGCGAGCGGTTGGGTGGATATTTTTTATTTAGAGAGGCGTAGCAGTGGCGCCGTTTCTAAAGACGACGTCATTCGCCGCGGGGAACCGTATCGACACGACCGCCGCCACTCTGCGATAGCCGGCGCTAAACTGTGTCACGCACGCCCGTCCCACGTGGTCTGGTGGGAGCCTCGGTACCGATGAAGTTGTTTTATTTTTTTCTTCCGGTTCCGTTTGGAAACGTCATCGGTATGTCATCGTCATCGGTACGTCATCGGTAGGTCATCGTCATCGGTACGTCATCGTCATCGGTACGTCATCGGTACGTCATCGTCATCGGTACGTCATCGATATCGGTGCGTCATCGGTACGGGAAAGGGTTAAGATGCAGGAATCAGCTCTTTGTGTCGTGCACCAGTGGCGAAATGGAGTTCTCAGTCGTCGAGGGTTTGACGTCTCGGCCTAGTCAAGACGAGACCCGCCTCCGTGTATTCAACGTTTATGGACCTATCTGTGTTCTCGGTTGAACGTAGATACACGCGGGGCTAAGGATGCTAAACTTGTGATGTCCCTCCTTGACTCTCCCATTTATTTATAACTCTGCCCCCCCTCCGTGCCCCCCTCCCCCCTCACCGCACTGTGTGCCCCAGGACCGACAGCTCCTTCAACTTCATGGCGTTCTTCTTCGTGCTCACAGCTCAGTTCGCGATTAACGTCATTCAGGCCATCGGCATCTCCGGCTGGGGAGTCTGGTGAGGGGCCCCACGGTGGCTGCCGTTAGACCTGCTGCTCCCTCACTGTGTGTGTAGGTCGACTCAGCCTCAAATGAGCATCCGGTGCGGTGTGTAGTAAACATTGCCACTGGGGAGACAAACGCGGCCGGGCGTGGTGCTGGCCGCACACCCCCTCGTGTGCCGTGCCGGCCTTCATAGGTGCTCGCTAACAACACTTGGCCCAACAGTCTGGTACAGGCTATATGTGGGATCTTTGTCTTTGTTTTTTGTGTGTGTGTGTGTGAGAGAGAGAGTGTGTGAGAGTGTGTGTGAGAGTGTACCATCTGGTACAGATACAATGGGAGGCTGAACGATGCCCGGGTGCGGTCAAGGGATGGCTGCCTATTGGTCAGCCACGTTATGTATGCCGATGAATTGGTAATAGCTGCTCATTCAGAGGAGGAGTTGGAGGCGCTGCTGCTGAAATTGGAGTGTGCCACTAAGAGGTGGGGCCTTACCATCAGCCCCACCAAAACGAAGCACCTGCCTGGTATTTTGTACCATCGGGCACTCCACCCCCACAACTCCTAATCAGTGATGGGGCAGTTGTGGAGAGAGTAGAGAGATTCCCATACCTGGGCAGTGTGGTCATGACCGGCTCTGGTTTAGCAGCAGAGGTCTCACTCCGAATCAGTTGAGCGGCATTATCTTTTCATCGGTTGCGTAACGCTGTGTGGAAGCTACCTGGTCTGTCGCTCCTCACGAAGCTTCGGGTCTTCTCGGCCACAGTCATTCTCTCCCTTCTGTACACTTGCGAAACGTGGACCCCCCTAATGGAACATCTTCGCCGGTTAGAAATATTTAGGCTGGCCTGCCTACAATCAATCCTGGGTTTAACCAGGCTGGATTGTGTGAGGAGCTCACAAATCCTCGAAAGATCTGGACAAAGTCCCATCAGTGAACTCCTCCAGCAGGCAAGGCTGCATTGGCTGGGCCATGTAGCCCGCATGCCCAGCCACCGCATGCCTAAACAGCTTTTGTTCGGCCGGATCGAGAGGGCTAAACGGGCGCGGCACGGGCTCGAGAAGAGAGTGATGTGGTACAGGAGGACGTGGAGCTGAGTGAACTTGCCGATGACTGGTACTAGCGGTGTCAAGATCGGCCTCTGTGGAGGAGGCTCGTGAAGGACCCTGCTACTGGGCAGTTGGAGGCAGTCGCCCTCCAACAACAACAGAGGGCGGAGGAGCGACGCTCACAACAACGAGCGGAGCGCCGGGTGGCTAAAGCACAGCAAGTTGGCACAGTAGGAGGCACAGGTGGTGCATCAGCCAGTCATCTCAGTCCTCTCAGTCAGTCGACCCGTGGCACCTGCTGGGTCTGCCCCGTGACCTCCTGCCAGCGGGCGTTCGACGCTTCACGTGGCCTCAAGGTGCACATGGCCTGGCCCAAGCGTCGTGGTGACGTCACCGCCACTTAGTGGCGAATGGCGGTTGTTGTTGTTGTGAGAGAGTGCATGGGAGAGACCCGCGCGTCTTCCCCGCTACGTTGACCCTCGCGTCTTCCCCACAGTGGCTGGATTGCGACCATATCGTTCTTCAGCTACAACATCGGAGCGGCCGTCGTGATGCTGATCCCGACCATCATGTTTACCGGCCTCGCCGTGCTCTCCTTCATCGCGTTAACCAAGGTGACCATATCCACGGGGTACCCCTCCTTTTTTTTTTTTCCAGTGTCAAACGACGGAAAATATATATATTTCAGAGTTGGCTTCAACCCTAATCTGGCATCTTCTTGGTTCTTTCGGTAAAGTCATGTAGAAGGGAAATAAAAAATAAAATAAAACATAATAAAATACAATTCTCACGACGTTTCGGCCACAACGCAAGCAGCCGTCCTCAGGTGAAGAAAAGGTCTGTCGGAAACACATTTTTTTTCTTTTTCCCTTCTACGTGACTTTACCGAAAGAACCAAGAAGATGAATCCCTGCAGTCACGAAAGCTTTAAATCGAAACCTAATCTGGCAATTAAACGGGACGTTGAGATGCTCCAACGAGTCGAATGCCCCCCCGCCGGCACGGGTTTATTACTGCCATCATCACTTTTGTTATTGCGTTTTGTTCACCCCGGGGGAAGGGCCTCACCGAGCGTCAAGACTCTTTGTGAGGTTCCTGCAGTGGGTGGCGGGGGGGGGGGGGAGCAGGGGGGAGGGGGGTTGCCGATGCTGAGTGAAAAGCCCTCGGCGTGATGTCCGTGACGTTTCAACTCCACGACGCGCAACCACAGTCAACAACAACAACAGCACAAATCTCGGCACATTTTTGTTTTTGTCAAGAGCACTGTGTGGCCTTAAAGCGAAAAAATAAATCCCAGTTACATTAAAACTGTTAGAAACTACGTGCTTATTTGATTTTGCCAGGTAAGGCCCACTGATCTCCATGGCTCTGAAGCCACCTGGCTATCACTAACGAGAGCGCAACAAAGTGGCTTCGCCTCATCATCACGTGTAGATCCATGGCAGCCAAATACTCTGAAAACGCGTGATGTTGTCTATAAATGTGGTGGGGGAAAAACCGGGGGACCTGGAGGAAAATTCACGCGACCACGGGGAGAGAGACAACACGCGGGCGTCAGGGTCGGGATGGAACCCACGACCCTCCTGTATGCCCGGAGAGGTAGTTAACATCTTGCAACCGTGATGACCATAATGAGAGAGACACCACAAACTCCAAATACACAGCAGGCGTCAGGGCCCGGATCAAACCCGCGACCTCCTGCGTACCCAGCGAGGCCGTTAACACCTCGCCACCGTCGATTCTGTAGGTGCACGGATACTACCGCGGCAGCGGCGGCAGCATGAGCAAGGCGCAGGAGGAGTGGACGACGGGAGCGTGGAAGAGTCCCGTGGTGCAGCAGGCCGCCTCGCAGGCCGTCGCCTCTCAACTGCAGCAGCAGCAGCAGCCGCCTGCTTACGGCAACGTCCCAAGCTACGGTTATGGGTCTGACCCCATGGCGCCCGCCGATCCGTATGGTGGCGGCGGCGGTGTTGGCGGTGGCGGCGGCGGCGGTGGTGGCGGCGTTGGCGGTGGCGGCGGCGGCGGAGGAGGAGGCTATGGCGGAAGTGCCGGGGGTTATGGGGGAAACGCTGGGGGTTATGGGTATGGAAACGAATACGGGACAAATGCCAACCCGACTGCCGGTTATTCCTACGGAAATCAGATGTGATTTGTTCTTAGTTTTTTTGGTTTGCAGCGATGTAAAGAAACTTTAAAGTGAGGGGTCGTAGTCCGCGTGTGTTTCATTACCTATTTATTTCCGTTTAGTTTGTATCATTCGGTGTGGATTTGCTGTTACCGACAGATCGAGAGTCGCTACTGCCGAGTTTCAATGCTACAAGGCGACGATCGGTCACTCTCGTTTCGTTACACTGATTAAGTGGCTTCCGGTACGTCTTCAATTCTGGCCGCGCGTAGGTTTTTTCCGAGGAACGTACGTTGCGTACGTTGCGTGCACGTTGAACTTCTTTCGCACCATACGTAGCCAACCGCGCTAATCGGAGGTGCGGAGGAAGGACAAGCAAACTAACACGCAAAATGCAGCTCGAAAGAAAGTGAGTTTTCAATCTCGATGATTTTAAAGTGCGTAGCTCTCGGTGGCTTCCTAATATCGCAAGGAAAGAGCGTTCCAGACGGCCGCGGAAGCAGCACATCTGAAAGCGCCGTTCGATGGCTAACAGCCAAAAGCCTCCGCTGCTTCGAGGATGAGTGAAGTTGGCGTGGCGACGGTTTTAACGTAACGGTTTTGATGAATCGTCACGATTCAGGGTCGCGGTCAGACAGGCGAATCGGTTCTCATATTGCCCCTTGTGCAGTGTTTTGGAAATCCACAACGGTTGTTGTGGTTCTGACAAGTCGTAGTAGTAGTAGTGGTGGTACGGGTTTCGTGACCACTATCCACAATAGAGGTTCTTTTTTTGGGTTCGATCGCATAAATACGAATGCGTCGTGAAAACACGGCACCACCAGACACAGCCAATTAGTAAAAGTTTGTCACGTGAACAATAAAAACACACACCGGTTAGTGCTGAACTAGTAACGAATTGCCACGTTCTGTTTACGTGGCAAGCCTTACTGATTGGTTGTGTCGGGTGGTGGCGAGTTTAACGACACATTCATATTGACGCGATCGAACCCAAAACGACCTCTTTTATGGCTGTGGTTCTGCAGTATACGCCAGGATTGTTGCGATTTGGCGATAATCAAATTCGCCGTACGATATGTACAATCCACGATCACCATAGTGACCCGGTTCTTTTTTCTCTCCGCGATATCGTGATCATCGTTGCTAATTTTTGTAATACATATCTCATTTCCTGACTATGTGAAATAACAACCATGGTAATGAAAGTTCTAAATAAGTAGCTAACCACTAGAAACATATCATTTTCCTGCATCGCATCTTGCAAGCGTTTGACTACCTTCGTACTTAATTTTATTAGTTCTTCTCTAACTGACGGCACGTGAATCGCCGCGATCGTAAAGTCTTCGGGTTGAGTGAACTGCGGTAAGAACGCTTTCGAGTTAAAAAAAAATCTCTCGTCACGCTTGAGCGCACAGCAGATTTTTGTTAGTTTTTTTTTACGTAGCACGGACAATTTGCTCGGCACGATTTCCGTCGGCGCTGCGCTTGGGCGCTGAGATTGGGCGCTGAGATCTCAATCGTTGTCGTCGTCGCGAACGTTCATTGTCAGCTTGGCAATCGCAAACGTTTATTCTGTGCCCACCGTATACTCCACTGTGGCGTGAATCAATGATGCACAGCAGCAGCAGCAGCGGGGATCTATAGAGCGGTGGTTCTCAGAGTGCGGTTCCCGTACCCCGGTGGTCACCGGTACTCCGGTGGGCCCAGGTACCCCCCGGCGACCTTCCTCCAAGTCGGTCGACGCGGAATTCACGACAACGTTCAATCCCTTCTTGTTTAGGACATTAATATTTGACTTGTGATATTTAATTTTTAAATGACGTTATGTAAACTACCCTGATTGAACTAACCCTAACAAGATCTAAATGGCTCCCCCACCCCTCCTTAAAAAAAATCTTGTCGCCGCGTAGAAAAAATTAGTTTTTTTTTTATGTTACGGTAATACGAATCACTTTGATTGACCGGTATTTAGAGAGAGAAGTGAATGCGTCTTGTCACCTGGCGCGGGGTGGGGGGGGGGGTGCTCTGGGTGTGCCGGCCCTAAACGAGTTTGAGCGACAACAACCGCTCGATCCAACCCAAAGTGATCCGTCGATTCCACATCGGCTAAAAATCTGTTGACTCTGTGGTGGTGCGAACGTGTTAAAGCTCCGGCGACTAGCTAAGAGGGGTAGGAAACTGTTGAATCTGCAGTGCTAACACTACAGGGACTCTTCTACTTACGGAACGAGTTGGGTTCCAGAGGTCTGTTCGTGAGTCGATTGGTTCGTAAGTAAAACTCCACTCCCGTCGCTTCCAAACGCGTGTCACGGTGCGTACCCCGGCAGTTTACTCGAGAAAAATGGCAGCTGAACCCGGCTCGAACAGGACACACCGTTGGGGCGGTACGGCTTGCCGTAGACTTGCACAGCAGGGCACGGTGGGCCGCCAAGACTTGGGGGTTATCGCGGTGAGAATAACATCGTGGTTGTATTTAAACCGACGGTGTTCGGGTTCTCCTTTGGAAAAGTAAACACTGGACGAGTTCCCTGCCACGGGAACGTCGAATTTCCTTCACTGGATTGTGGCCACGAGTGGCTTGCGCACGAGGGTACGGCGAGCCACGACTTGCCGTATGTATTAATATCTTCCCTGCGGAGTGGTGGCGGTTATTTGGTGGTTGTATTTAAAACAAAACTGACGATGTTGTTGGGGGGGGGGGGGGGGTTGTGTTAGAAAGTCAACACTGGTTTGTCCTATGGAAATCCCGAGTTCCCTGCCAGGGGAACGGCGAATTTCCTTCACTGGATCGTGGCCACGAGTGGTTACGGGCAACATCCATTGCCCCGTTGGAGGTGGAGAGTAGGCCACGACTTTCAGTATTTATATTATTCGTGTGTTATCATTGAGCATGTTGTGAATTGCCCACAATAACGAAACACGGAGGCGCGGCGCGAGTGTTAATTATGTCGTGAGTGAGTGAATTAATTCCATCCTGAAATGGAGGGGTTTTATTTTTTTTGCGGGCAGTTCGTGCGCGTGCAATTTGTTGTTCCGTTATCGGCTTTGCATCCCCTGCACCGTTTGTAGGTTGGGCGGCTCCCCGCTTTCACGACGTCGCAACGCGTTCCCCGGGAAGCCCCATCGTAGACGGTAGAAACGGGAGAGACATCACTTGCCGATGTGTTTTTTTTACCTTTCATCAGCCGTATTTAACGCGGTTTATCAAGAGGTAAACATCAACAACGACGAACAAAACCCTCGCTCGAGAAAAACAACATCTCCACGCCAAGTCACGTCGCGAACCAGACCGGCTGTTCACATGCTTCAACTAAACTTTTGTTAAGTACGGCCCTCTGAACTACGTACAGGGTGAATTTTGATTTAAAGCTTTCGTGACTGCAGGGATTCATATTCTTGGTTCTTTCGGTAAAGTCACGTAGAAGGGAAATAATAAAATAATAATAATATGAAACAATAAAAATTCTCACGACGTTTCGACTGCAACACACACCTGATGATGATTGCTTGTGTTGCAGTCGAAACGTCGTGACGTTGATTCTAATACTTGTGGAGGGATAAACCGGAAGAATTGTTCACGCGACCACGGGGAGAGAGAGAGAGACACCGCAAACTCCGTATACAGCAGGCATCAGGGTCGGGATGGAACCCACGACCCTCCTGTATACCAAGAGAGGTAGTTAACATCTTGCAGCCGTGATGACGATGATGAGAGAGACACCACAAACTCCAAACATACAGCAGGCGTCCGGATCGGGATGAAACCCATGACCCTCCTGTATACCAGGAGAGGGAGTTAACATCTCTTAGCCACCGCGTTTGAAGCCGTGTCGGAAGGTGCGTCGTTAATCGAAACGTAAGCCGGAGACCGCCTGTATCTGCTTTAGGTTTTTTTGGGGGGATGGGGGTCGGAGGGGGAATGTGTTACGTCAGCTGTTGGGGGTCGGGGTTGGAAGTGAAAACGCCGCGCTTGAAACGAAACCAATGCTCCTTGTTGCTTCCTTGAGCGTGAAACGATGTTTGGTTGCGGGGCCGTGGTACGACAGGCAGTGAATCATGAAACTCGGGCGTGAGTCACGGCGGCTTCGCGTGGCAACGGGGTGAACATGCTTCACGTGGTTATCTCAGTTGCTGTTTGAAAGCATTGACCCGTGGGATAAAACATTCGCCACTGTATTATATATTTTCTTGGTTCTTTCGGTAAAATGTTCTTGCTGTGGATTTCACGCCTGATGATGATTGCTTGTGTTGCAGTCGAAACGTCGTGAGAGTTTTATTGTTTTATAATTTTTTAAATTATTTTATTGTTTCCCTTCTACGTGACTTTACCGAAAGAACCAAGAATATGAATCCCTGCAGTCACGAAAGCTGTAAAATCAAGACTGTATTATATGTTTATTGGGATAACTTAAAAAAGCGTCTTACTGGGATCGGGATCTGGCGTGGTTTAATGGTTCGGGGCCGTTCATAAATGACGTCACGCACCTAGGGGGGGGGTGGGGGTCAGACATTTGTGACGATGTGTGCCGAGGGGAGGGGGGGTTTGAGAAATGTGACGTCACATCAAAATGCGCAACTTTAAATAAATATAGACAACACGTTCTACTTAATTAAATATACTTTTAAATAAATGTCTCCTACAACATCAGAGTGCAGCGCCACATTAAATACGCACTACAATGACAATAGTTTAAAGCGATTTGAAGCATGTTTTATTTTGGGGGGAGAGGGGGTGGCAGAGCTTTGTGACGTCATATTTGAGGGGGGGGGGGTCTGACTTTCTGCGACGCCGTGTGACGAGGGGGGGGGTCAGAAATCGTCCAAAATCTCGTGACGTCATTTATGGACGGTCCCTTAGCACACTGAGGCTTGCAATCCAGAGGTCGTCGGTTCAATCCCCGGGTACGGAAGTTGAAGCAACGGGCCAATCTATGGGACCCGTTTTGCCGGTATCGACGTGATGGGGGGAAAAGAATAGGATGTACCCTTTAAGGCAAGATTACAGGAGGTGTTAAGATGTTCAAATACTAATTAGACACCTATTAATCAGGCATACCCCAACCCCTATCACTATCACTACCCCAACCCCTATCACTGCCCCTTTCACTACCCCTATCACTACCCCAACTCCTATCACTACCCCAACCCCTACCCCTATCACTACCCCTATCACTACCCCTATCACTACCCCAACTCCTATCACTACCCTATCACTACCCCTATCACTATCACTACCCCTATCACTACCCCAACCCCTATCACTACAACTACCCCTATCACTACGCCTATCACTACCCCAACCCCTATCACTACTACTACTACCCCTATCACTACCCCAACCCCTATCACTACCCCTATCACTACCCCTATCACTACCCCTATCACTACCCCAACCCCTATCACTACTACTACTCCTATCACTACAACTACCCCTATCACTACCCCTATCACTACCCCTATCACTACCCCAACACCTATCACTACTACTACTACCCCTATCACTACCCCCAACACCTATCACTACTACTACTACCCCTATCACTACCCCAACCCCTATCACTACCCCTATCACTACCCCAACCCCTATTACTACTACTATTACCCCTATCACTAGCCCTATCACTCCCTCTACCCCTACCTGAATCTGTATTGTACTGGAAGAATGCGATGAGCTGTGAAGCTCTTTAATTCACAGATGTCCAGTAGGGACGCGGGGTCAGAACGTAACAACAACAAACGATACAAACATCACGATAGGAGTGTAAAGTATATATAAGGTAAACAAATAACTTTAAAACAAACTAATTGTATCTTACCAGGTAAAGTCCACGATTAGCTTCCTTTTTCAGAATCGACCAGGCCGCAAATGATAGCTGAACGAAAGTGGCTTATGATCATGTAGACATTCATAGCAGCCAATAATCTTAAATAATCTTACCCTTACCCATCCTTAACCACTCCGCACCACCACGTTTAATAAACCCACTCTTTATTGTAATCACTATCGTCGTAAAATTAAGGAAACTTTCTTTATATGACCAGGTAAGGCCCACTGAGAGCATGCAAACTCCAAATACACGGCAGCAGGCGTCAGGGTCAGGGTCGAACCCACGACCTCCTGCATACCAGGCGAGAGAGTTAACACTCGTCACCGCTATAAGATAACGTAGGGGCCCCTATTTAAAAAAAAAAGCTCGACGTTTCGGGATGGCTCCTGGCCCAGCCTAGGAAGGTTCCAGTCCTGCCATTGGCAGCTTCTACCACCCAGCGAGGCTTACCCACGTGGTAGTTTTAAACGCGTGCTTGGAAGTGTATTAGTCGTTGAGAGTATTATATGCATTACGCGTGTTTTGGAGAATGTGGATGTGGCATTGTTGTTGTTCGTGTGCTGTCCTTGTGCTGCTGCAGCTGTTGGCGTGTGTGCGTACAAGTGCTGTGTCTTCGTTGTTAGTGTTGACGACACAATTTCACCGATGCTACGTACCCAGGAAACGTGCAACGTTGGCTCAACGTTGGACCAACCAACGTTGGTTGATTCAACGTTCGACCAACGTTGCCTCAACATTGGCGCAATGTTTCAAGTTTACTGGGTATGTACATAAAACTACAAAAAAATGAAACAAAGACAGGGAGGAGGCTTTGATCGGGAGGTAACGATGGCAGTTTAGTGAAGTTTACTGACGGTAAAACGTTTACTGAATGTAAACTGAACCAATGTGAGGTGACGCTTTTAATGAATTCACTGCGTGTCATTGATACATTGTAAATCATTCCATCCATCGGGAGCTTTTCTGTGATGAATAGAGTGAAGGGAAGAAACAGAAGACGTCATTTGTTTAGTTGCAGTCAGCAGCGATCGTGGCTGAGGCCACCAACTCGCTGCACTTTAGAACCCGGTGTAAACACGAGCCAGCTGCAACTCATTCTAACCCAGGATGTCACTGCTGCTGGCTCTCTGGCTCCGACACGGTCATTATGAACCCACTTAGAGACGCCCAGACCCAGGGGGTTGACACCAGACTCGCAACAGGGCTGGCTCCGTATCTGACACGAGCATTGTGAGCCCTCTAGAGGGACACACACGCACACCCAGGGCTTGAACCAGGATCTTAGCAGTGCTGGTTTTCTGGCTTCGACACGGCCATTATGAACCCACTGAGAGACGCCCAGACCCAGGGCTTAAACCTGGATCATAGCAGTGTTGATACGGTGTCTCCTACAGCGCCATTATGAAACCCCTTACAAGATGCGCAGTAAATAGCTTACTTGGTGTTAATTACAAATCTAAGATTCGGCTGACACCATCGCTGATATGTGATGACGGTTTTGCTTCTAATTTCACTTTAAATTCAGGTTGTGGGTGCTTCCGCAGATCTCTACAATTTGTTTAAATGCCTGTCTTTAGCTTGTATGTGATGTCGGTGAAATAAAATGTGCAATCCGAAAAATCGATATCTATTTATTTGTTTCGCCATCACCAGTTCTGCACGGGTCGACGAATGATTATCCGACATGCAATCGTACAGACTCATATCCACCACCATCTGTCTTGCAGTCGCCCTCACTCATGCAGTCAGCAACATCCTATAGGGCCACCATCACAGTCTCCTCTCATCATCATCATCACCAAAGACACAAATATCCCCCCTGGAGCATTTTCAGACTGTTGGGGCAAGTGCTGTTAGCGAGCAGCACCTATGAAGGCCGGTACGGCACACGAGGGGGTGGATGGCCAGCACCACGCCCGACCGCCTTTGTCTCCCCCAGTGGCAATGTTCACACATCGCACCAGGAACTCATTTGAGGCTGTGTCGACCTAGGGGAGGCCCAGGACCAGTTCGCTCTTTTCCCAACCTCCAAGTGGCTTGCCCCATCCTCCAGCCTGCACACTGCACACCACGTGTCCACAACCTATCACAACCTCCTCCACCATGCACACCACGTGACCCACCCATCACCACAACCTCCTCCACACTGCACACCACGTGTCCCACCCATCATCACAACCTCCTCCACTACCCTGCACACCACGTGACCCACCCATCACCACAACCTCCTCCACACTGCACACCACGTGTCCCACCCATCATCACAACCTCCTCCACTACCATGCACACCACGTGTCCCACCCATCATCACAACCTCCTCCACTACCCTGCACACCACGTGTCCCACCCATCACCACAACCTCCTCCTCCACCCTGCACACCACGTGTCCCACCCATCGCAACCTCGTCTTCCTTACTGCGCCCACACAGCTGATCTGCCACGACCTGAGCTCAACCCCCAAGTTGCTACCTCGACCCTTGCCATGGAATTCCGAACATCATGCGAGTGTGCCATATGCTCAAAGGCCAGAGGCTTACACACACACACGCAGTGGGGCGGGCCGGGGGGGGGGGGTAGTTGGGGAGGGGTGGGTACTACATGTAATGTGGGCTAAGAGGAAATATGTTGGGCATTATTGCATGGCTTGATCTGTGGAGCAGTGGGACCGACGTTCCCGTGCAGGAATGTGTGAGTGGAACACAGGAATGCGGTGTTCGCCCTCCAAGTTACACATTTGTAGACAAAGATAAAGATCCTCCGTGTAGCCTTAACAGACTGTTGGGGACAAGTGCTGCTTAGCGAGCACCTATGAAGGCCGGCACGGCACACGAGGGGTATAGGTGGGTGGGTGGCAACCACCACGCCCGGCCGCCTTTGTCTCCCCGAGTGGCGATGTTTACTGCACACTGCACCAAGTAATAATTTGAGGCTGAGTGACATTGACGTAATACATTCATGAACACGCATTCACACATTCTCACCCCCCCCCCCCCAAGTTATATAAATACGTAGAATCAGGTCAGCAAATCAGTGAAATCCATGTTCCTTGTGAAGCCAATTACCATGTTTGGTCGTCGTCAATGCTCTCCAGCCTCGACTGACGCCATTCGTGTCTGAACCAGTCATGGGCGACGCCTTCACCAACACGCAGTGACCAGCGTGGTGAAGTATGGTCGAGCAATACCCCCCCCCCCGTGATTGACACAGCGAGGGTAGGGCCCTTCGTCATGGCAGTGTTGTGTGACGAGATGCCATCTTTTTCGATTTAAAGCTTTTTCCGTGACTGCAGGGATTCATCTTCTTGGTTCTTTCGGTAAAGTCACGTAGAAGGGAAGTAATAAAATAATAAAAATAAAACATAATAAAATAAAATATTATTTTATGTTTTATTTTTATTATTTTATTACTTCCCTTCTACGCGAAATAAAATATTATTTTATTATGTTTTTTTATTATTTTATTACTTCCCTTCTACGTGACTTTACCGAAAGAACCAATAAGATGAGATGCCATCTCTCTCGCCCGGTGTGGGTTCGATCCCAGCCCTGCGCGTGTCTCTCTCTCTCTCTCCACGTGGATTCTTCTCCGGATCCTCCGGTTTTTCCACTCCACGTTTCGGAATCAAGATCTCGCGAGTTCGCAGTATTCGTCAATGTCCACGTGGTAAGCCGCTGCGTTGAGCTATCATTTCGTGGCCACGTCGCTTCTGAAAAGGAGTTTTATAATGGGCCTCGCCTGGTTAAAAATGTTTAAATAAACGATTCTAAAATGCCACTGGGGGTCCTGCTGATGCTGCTGCTGCTGGCACGACGAGACGGCTTCAGCAGACAGAGACACAGAGAGAGACACAAAGACAGAGACAAAGAGACACAGAGACACAGAGAGAGACACACAGAGAGAGACAGAGACACAGAGAGAGACACACAGAGAGAGACAGAGACCGTTCGTGTCGTGTCGCCGCTGTTCCTCCCCCTGAATTGAAGGAGCGAAGACCACGGTGGGTTTACCTTGCGGTCCATAGTGTGGGTTGTCTAACTCTATGGGCCTCTGTGTGCCTCTATGTGTCTCTATGCATCTCTATGTATCTCTATATCTATGTGTCTCTATGCATCTCTATATATATGGATCGCTGTGTGTCTCTATGTATCCCAATGTGTCTGTGTATCTCTGAGTCTCTTTGAGTCTCTATGGGTTTACTGGCCTCAACGTGCACATAGCCTGGTACAAGCGCCGCGGTGACGTCACCGCCACTTAGTGGCGAATGGCGGTTGTGTTGTTGTTGTTTATGGGTTTCCTATAGGTCCATATTGTGGGTTGCATGCCCACAGTCCAGCAAGGGACGGCGTGCCCACCTCGAAGATGAGGGTCGTCGTTTATATGAACTCAGTTGAACGTCTTTCGCACCGTACGTAGCCAACCGTGCTAATCGGAAAATCAGAGGCTGAATTAAGCCGGATGTTCGCCTCTCTCCATCCCTTACCCCCCCTCCCTCCTCTCGCCCTCCATGTCTATCCACTTCCTCCTCTCTCCCCGTGACTCTCCCCCCTCGCCCCCACGTCTCCCCTCTCCTTTCCCAATGCATCTCCATCCCCCCTCCCTCCTCGTGACTCTCCATCCCTCCACTCTCCCCCTGTCCCCCCCATCGCTTCCTCATGGCACGCACTGACTTCCTCTCTCCACACGCATCTCCATCCCTGCCCTCTCTCCCACCATGCCTCTCCATTTCATCTCCCCGTGTCTCTCCATCCTCCGTAACCCTCCCCGTGTCTCTCCATCCATCTGAACTCTCCCCGTGTCTCTCCATCCTCCTTAAATCTCCCCGTGTCTCTCCATCCATCTGAACTCTCCCCGTGTCTCTCCATCCTCCGTAAATCTCCCCGTGTCTCTCCATCCATCTGAACTCTCCCCGTGTCTCTTCATCCTCCGTAAATCTCCCCGTGTCTCTCCATCCTCCTTAAATCTCCCCGTGTCTCTCCATCCATCTGAACTCTCCCCGTGTCTCTCCATCCTCCGTAAATCTCCCCGTGTCTCTCCATCCTCCGTAAATCTCCCCGTGTCTCTCCATCCATCTGAACTCTCCCCGTGTCTCTTCATCCTCCGTAAATCTCCCCGTGTATCTCCATCCTCCTTAAATCTCCCCGTGTCTCTCCATCCATCTGAACTCTCCCCGTGTCTCTCCATCCTCCGTAAATCTCCCCGTGTCTCTCCATCCACCTGAACTCTCCCCGTGTCTCTCCATCCACCTGAACTCTCCCCGTGTCTCTCCATCCTCCGTAACTCTCCCCGTGTCTCTCCATCCACCTTAAATCTCCCCGTGTCTCTCCATCCACCTTAAATCTCCCCGTGTCTCTCCATCCTCCTTAAATCTCCCCGTGTCTCTCCATCCTCCGTAACTATCCCCGTGTCTCTTCATCCTCCCTAAATCTCCCCGTGTCTCTTCATCCTCCGTAACTCTCCCCGTGTCTCTCCATCAACCTTAAATCTCCCCGTGTCTCTCCATCCACCTTAAATCTCCCCGTGTCTCTCCATCCACCTTAAATCTCCCCGTGTCTCTCCATCCTCCGTAAATCTCCCCGTGTCTCTTCATCTTCCTTAAATCTCCCCGTGTCTCTCCATCCACCTTAAATCTCCCCGTGTCTCTCCATCCTCCGTAACTCTCCCCGTGTCTCTACATCCTCCTTAAATCTCCCCGTGTCTCTCCATCCACCTTAAATCTCCCCGTGTCTCTCCATCCTCCGTAACTCTCCCCGTGTCTCTTCATCTTCCTTAAATCTCCCCGTGTCTCTCCATCCACCTTAAATCTCCCCGTTTCTCTCCATCCTCCGTAACTCTCCCCGTGTCTCTTCATCTTCCTTAAATCTCCCCGTGTCTCTCCATCCTCCGTAAATCTCCCCGTGTCTCTTCATCTTCCTTAAATCTCCCCGTGTCTCTCCATCCACCTTAAATCTCCCCGTGTCTCTCCATCCTCCGTAACTCTCCCCGTGTCTCTACATCCTCCGTAACTCTCCCCGTGTCTCTCCATCCACCTTAAATCTCCCCGTGTCTCTCCATCCACCTTAAATCTCCCCGTGTCTCTCCATCCATCTGAACTCTCCCCGTGTCTCTCTATCCTCCCTAAATCTCCCCGTGCCTCTCCATCCTCCGTAACTCTCCCTTCCATTCCCCTCTCTCCACATCTCTCCCCTGCATCTCTCCGCGTTCTCGCTCTCCCCGGTGACTGACTCTCCCACCCCCTCTCTCCCTTTGACCGTGTTCTCTCTCTCTCTCTCCCCTGGGAGACATTCCGTGGTTCCGAGTGGGGGCTCCCTCCCCCCTCCCTTCCCCCTCCCTTCCCCCTCCCCCTGTAATCACTGCCAGACGACGGATCGGAGCGAACTCGCCCCCCTTTCTCTCGGAGCCTGATCCGTGGTCGGTGTTGGTGCGTTCACGATACCCGTGGCTTGTTGTTGATCGTTGCTCGAGGCCATTCTTTGTCTGTGAAGTGAGTAGTTGCTTGCTGCTAACGGCACTTGCCCTACCAGCCTGTGTAGGATACACGGGGGATCTTTGTCTGTGTAGTGAGTAGTTGCTTGCTGCTAACGGCACTTGCCCTACCAGCCTGTGTAGGATACACGGCGGATCTTTGTCTGTGAAGTGAGTAGTTGCTTGCTGCTAACGGCACTTGCCCTACCAGCCTGTGTGGGCTAACCGGGAGATCTTTATCTGTGTTTGTGTACACGTACGAATCGTACACAGTGCAACGGGCATGGCTGTCCCGTCGCAGAGCATGTAACTCATTGATGTGTTGTTTTGTCTCTCTGAAATGACTCCGGAGATGATTCCGCCTGAAGTAACTCCTGTCTGTCTCCCGTGTACCTGCCCTGGAACACACACACATAACTCTCTCTCACACACACGCACTTTCTCTCACACACACACACTGACACACACGCACGCACTTTATCACACACACACACGCTCACACACACACACTCTGACACACACACGCTCTCAATAACGAACATATTCCATCTCACAAAGGGCGGCAGCTTCGCCTCCTCTATCCGCAGCAAACTCTGCTCACCCGAACAATCCTCATCTCTCTCTCTCGTCTTCTCTGTCATCGCCAGGCCACTCTCCACCTCGTCACCAATGGCTCCAAAGAGGAACCACCGCTCACGAAGCCTCCCGAGGGTCACCTCCTCGCCGTCTCTGCGGCGCCTCATCCCCGTCGCCTTCGCGGCCGTCATCGCCACCCTCCTGCTGGGCTCGTCTGATGGACAGGACGTCGTCGGCAGCTCCTCCAGGGCAGGTCCTCCGCCGCGTTCTCCTCCGCAAAGGTTCCCTCCGCAAAGGTCTCCGCAGCCTCAGCTTCCTCCGTCAACCGGCCTCCGTCGAACCTTCACCAGCGTGCGCGCCGAGATCGGCCGAGACCCATCGTCGTCGTCGTCGTCGTCGTCGTCGTCGTCGTCGTCGTCGTCGTCGTCGTCGTCGTCGTCGTCGCTGGACGTTCGGAATCAAGCTGGAGGCTCCGCGGGGTCTCCTCAAAATCCCGCGGGATCTCCCACCAACCAGGGTACGGTGCGCGGCCGTACGAGACACCCGTACGGGTTTGGTCAGGTGCCGAGTCAGTGGTGGCAAGCCACCTTTGGTGGTGGCGGCGCTGGTGGTGCCGCTGGCGGTGTCGCTGGTGGCGCTGGTGGCGCCTCGACATCCAGAAGTCAAGCGGGCCGCTTTCCTCCCCAGTCGCCGGACCAAGGCTTCTTGAGGGGCGACGGAAGCAGCGGCGGTAGCAGCGTCAGACAAGCGGGCGCCGTCTTTCCGAGGCAGCTTGAGGAGGAGGATGACGCCGCCGCCTTCGGAGGAGGTGGTGGTGGTGGTGGGCCTCGTGGCTTTTTCCCAGCTCGCCGTGGCGGGTCGTCGTCGTCCTCCTCCCAACAGAGGCGGCCGGGCTTCGGAGTTGACAACGGCGGCTCCTTCGCCCCTCAGGGCGCTGCTGCGTCCTTCCCACTGCACGATCCAGCTGGCGGGGGCTCATCGTCACTGCCTTCCTCGTCGGCGTTCGCATCTCCTCAGAGGCCGGCTCCCGCTTTCCAGCCCATCCCTCGCAGGAGGCCCGATCAGCGATCGCAAGCCTCCTCCACCTTCTCCTCCCAGCGGGCGCCCTTCACCGGGCCCTCGACCTTCCTGCCCGACGAGGCCTCGTTCCCCCAAGGAGCGGCAGACGGCGGTGGGGCCCTGAACCCCTTCCTTCCGCGCAACCTCGGCCCACCGCCTCCCGGCAACATCCAGCCCTTCCCACCGCAACTCTACCCCGGCTACCCGCAGAGCGGTAGCGCCGACCAGCCCCAATACCAGCCGAGGCCTCCTCAAGGATACCCCCAGGGCGTGCCTCCTCCGGCAGGCTACGGTCCGCTCCCTGGATACCCAAACCAGGGTCAGTACTACCCGCCGCCGCCGCCGCCGCCGCCGCCGCACGGTCAGCTGCGCCCCTACTACCCCACGGGCCAGGTCCAGCCGGCGCCAGGGCCGTACCCTTACCAGCCGGCGCCTCCATTTGGCTACCCTGACCCGAGGCTCTACGGCGGCTTCAACCACCACCTCCAGCAGCAGCAGCCGCCGCCGCCGCCGCCGCCGGGAGCGTACCCGTTCTATCCGCGGGGAGGCCTGCCCGCCGAAGCTGGCCTCGACAGATCCTTCGGTCACTTCAGAGACGGCGGCTTGGAGCAAGATGCTGCCGGTGGTGGCGGTGGAGCTGCCGCCGCTGCGGCTGCCGCGGCCGCTGCGGCCGCTGCGGGCGCTGGAGTCTCTCAGACCTTCCTCGGGGCCTCTCCAGAGGATGGCCTTGACAGGAGGTACACGGCCAGCATCTACCAAGGAAGGGGCGAAGATCAGCAGCAGCAGCCGTCGAATGAAGGTGCGGCGGTCTTCCCGGCGGCTCGGGAACCGCTCGGGGCAAGGGCGCCGTTGGAACGGAGCCAAGACGTCGTTGGGGGATCGGCGTCTCTGACTTCGTCACCTTCGGGATCGTTTGCGCAGCCTGGTGGGTCGTTGAGAAGGCCTCAAGATGGACCAGGTAATAAACGATTGAAAAACTATTACAAATGTTTTTTCACCAGGTAAGGCCCACTGAGATATATGGTTCTTTTTTCAGAAAGCCACCTGGCGGCTTATCATCATCATCCTCATCACGTGGACGTTTCTAGCAGCAGCCAGGTACTCTTAAAGGCGGAGATGTTGACTCTGAATGTGGAGGGACAAAACACGGAGGGGACTCGGATAAGAATCCACGCAGTGACCGTGGGGGGTGGGGGAGAGACGCGCAGTCTCCAAATATACAGCAGCAGCAGGCGTCAGGGTCGGGATTGAACCCACGACCTCCTGTAGACCAGGCGAGGTGGTTAATATCTCACCACCGTGGCACCCAGGTAATGTTCAAGTTATTAATTAACTACAGTGGTGGATCCTAAGGGCCAGCGGTGGTGGGGGGGGTATATGTTCTCCCTTTTCCATCAAAGCACCATAAATTGGTGGTGTTGGTTTTCACATTTAATGCGGGGGGGGGGGGGGGTCATATGAAAAGCTTAGAGGGCGCCACAGTGGCGAGATGTTAATTGCCTCGCCTGGTGTACAGGAGGTCGTTGGTTTGATCCCGACCCTGACGCCTGCTGTATGTTTGGAGTTTGCGTGTCTCTCTCTCATCATCACGGTGGCTAGGAGATGTTAACTACCTCGCCTGGTGTACAGGAGGTCGTGGGTTCGATCCCGACCCTGACGCCTGCTGTATATTTGGAGTTTGCGTGTCTCTCTCTCGTCATCATCACGGTGGCTAGGAGATGTTAACTACCTCGTCTGGTGTACAGGAGGTCGTGGGTTTGATCCCGACCCTGACGCCTGCTGCTGTATATTTGCTGTACATTTGGAGTTTGCGTGTCTCTCTCTCCCCGTGGATTTGTCTCCGGGCCCTCCGGTTTGCCCCCTCCACATTTAGAATCAACGTCACGCGCATTTAGAGCAATTTGACTGTGACACATTTCCACGTGATGATGATGAGCCACTTCGTTGAGCTTTCATTTATGATAGCCAGGCCGCTTCTGAAAAAAAGAGCTCTATATAGCTGAGAGGGCCTGACCTGGTAAAATGAAAAAAAAATTGGTTAATTTATCTTCTTAATTTTTAAATGTAGGGTACCGATCCCACCCTGTCCTCTCTGCCACTCTTCCCCGAGGTAAGTTTCTAGGTCATCCTAAGGTCAACACTGGATAGCTCAGAGTAGCAATACGACTATATGTATGTATCGTACGATATATCATCACGATATACGGCAGTAAGGTCCACGATAATTGTGTTATCGTCCGTTTAACAAAATACCGTGATGTCGAGATTATTAATGCCGATTTGTATTTTTATTTAAATTATGGTTCGTATTTTTAAAATTTCCAAATGTTTACAAAAAAACGACAACCACGACGATTACGTACCGGTAATCTCCCTCATTAATTGTTAACTTAATTAAAATCGACTAAAACCGTTCAGCTTGGAGGTTAAGGTGCTCTTAGAACCGAGGCTCTGAATCCACAGAGTGCACACCCACGTGACGTTTGCAACGGGATTCTTCCGTTTCCTCGTCCCACGCTCTGATTGGTCCAAACCCTCTCGAAGCCCAACCAATAGGGAGAGAGGATTTTCAGTTATGGGATTTGGGATATCCGGCGTACTGCAGTGAATTAATGAATGATTTATACATCAGCTCAGAGGGCTTTTACCTGGTAAGATACAAAAAAATGTGTTTAGTTTTCTTCGTGTATATTTTTTGTAAGTAGGTTTGTGTACCTTTCCTATACTTTTCACTCCTGTCGTGATTTTGTAATTGTTGTTTTTGTAAAGTTCTCACCTCACCGCCCCCGTGTCCCCTGACTAAACATCTGTGAACAAAGATCTTAATAGCTTTTTTTTCGATTTTAAGCTTTCGTGACTGCAGGGATTCATCTTCTTGGTTGTTTCGGTAAAGTCACGTAGAAGGGAAGTAATAAAATAATAAAAATAAAACTTAATAAAATAATTCTCACGAAGTTTCGGCCACAACACAAGCAGCCATCCTCAGGTGAAGACCAGGTCTGTCGGGGAGACATTATTTTATTATGTTTTATTTTTATTATTTTATTACTTCCCTTCTACGTGACTTTACCGAAAGAACCAAGAAGATCTTAATAGCTCATCGGTTTCCTCCAGTATAAATCAATATTCTGATTCTGAAATGACCCAACTGATATTATTGATGGTAACCAGACACGAGACTCAAGTGAGGTTTTCCTCGTGTTAACGAGCATAACAACAACTGATTACGGATATTATAAATAAGGGGCCGTCCATAAATGACGTCACGCACCTAGGGGAGGGGGGGGGTTTGAGAAATGTGACGTCACATCAAAATGCGCAACTTTAAATAAATATAGACAACACGTTCTACTTAATTAAATAGACTTTTTAATAAATGTTTTCTCCTACAACATCAGAGTGCAGCGCCACATTAAATACGCACTACAATGACAATAGTTTAAAGCGATTTGAAGCATGTTTTATATTGGGTGGGGGGGGCAGAGCTTTGTGACATTATATTCGAGGGAGGGGGTCTCACTTTTTGTGACGCCGTGTGACGAAGGGGGGGGGGGGTCAAAAATCGTCCCAAATCGCGTGACGTCATTTATGAACGACCCCTTAGCACACTGAAGCTCTCAAGTGCTATCGACGGACGAGTTCATTCTTTTCTCTCTTCGAAGATCCTCACGGATGGATTTGTAAGACGACATGAAGCGATCACGGCACGCGTGCAATAAACCGCTGCAAATCTAACACCCGTCGAGAGAGCGAGACTCACGTCAAGTACATGACCCCCCCCCCCCCACCTCCCTCCGATCTCGTCCACGAGCATACATCGCCATCACGCAAACTCCCGGTCACCCTTGCAGCAGCGGCGGCGGCCGCGGCTTTTGGCTGCGAGCCGTCAGATAAAGACGGTGGTCACTGCATGGCACGCTTTTGCGGATGCGGTACCCCTCGGCCGTCTGGAACGTTCCTTCCTTTCCGACGAGGAAGCCGCTGGGAGCTATGGACTTTTTAATTATTCGTTGAGAACTGCTTTTTATGTTCAGTGTGTTGCCCCCCATACCTTTGATTAGCACGGTTGGCTACGTACGGTGCGAAAAGTTCAACATTCATACAGACTGCACTATACACTATGCTATACGCTACACACACTACACTACAATACACTACACTACTATACACTACACTACTATACACTACGCTATACGCTACACACACTACACTACCATACACTACACTATACACTACGCTACTATACACTACTCCACTTGACTGCTTGTTGTCCTTCCCCCTGCACCTCTGATCAACGTGGTCAGCTATGTGCGGTGCGAAAGACGTTCAATGCAACGTACCTACGTATGTACGAGCTAATTGGCCTTGACCTCTTGACCCGCACAGCCCTGCCGGACTTGGTGGCGGACCCCGAGTACATCCAGGCGTCCGTGTTTGTCGAGCAGAAGCCGCTCTACTCTCTGCGCTGCGCCGCCGAAGAGAAGTGTCTCGCCAGGTGAGTGCCACCGGTCGCCGTCACGACGATGATGACGTTAATTGTATGGACTTCTGTTAAAAAAGAGCTTCCCAGCTCATCGGATTCTTCCACTCGCGTCGCCGGACGCCAGTACTGGGTTGCCACGGCGATGTGCCAAGACGATCTCCATGCCCTGGTCGGGGCCCCCGCGACCGATTGGTGCCGGGAAATTCTGGCCAACGTCGGGCCGGCGACGTTGTGACAACGTTGAAGGCCAGCGTCGTGAGGTCGGGCCAACGTTGGGGCAACATTCTGACGACGTTCGGGCAACGTCGTGAGGTCGGGCCAACGTTGGGGCAACATTCTGACGACGTTGGGGCAACGTCGTGAGGTCGGGCCAACGTTGGGGCAACATTCTGACGACGTTGGGGCAACGTCGTGAGGTCGGGCCAACGCTGGGACAACATTCTGACGACGTTGGGGCCAGCGTCGTGAGGTCGGGCCAACGTTGTGACAACGTCGGGCCAACGATAGGGCCAACTTTGGGTTGGGATTGAACCCACGACCTCCTGTACACCAAGCGAGGGAGTTAACATCTCCTCGCCACCGTGGCGCCCCTGTTAAGGCTAAACGGAGGGGGGGGTGTGTGTTTGTGCGTGCGTGCGCAGCACGGCCTACGCGGCGGACGCGAAGGACGACGACATCAGGATCCTCCTGCGGTTCCCGCAGCGCGTCAAGAACGAGGGGCTCGCAGACTTCCTGCCCAACCGGCCCCGCAGCCAGTGGGAGTGGCACACCTGCCACCAGTAAGACGCTCGCCCACACGCCACACACACGCACACACACACGCACACACGCGCGTACGCCGTGTACACACGCGCGTACGCCGTGCACACACGCGCGTACGCCGTGCACACACGCGCGGCATGCACGCCACCGGCGGTGCAGCTATGCGGCGATCGAGTAGCAGACTGTGCTACTGCAACAGGCCCTACGGCCCCCAGCGGGCCAGGCACCGAGCCTGCGAATGCGCTGCGGCTCGCTCGCCCCCCCCTCAACCCCCGCCCCCACCCCGCGATCCCAAGGCGATCGCCCCTTCGTGTTGATCCCTTGCAGGCACTACCACAGCATGGACGACTTCAGCCGCTACGACCTGCTGGACGCCCTGTCGGGACACAAGGTGGCCGAAGGGCACAAGGCCAGCTTCTGTCTGGAGGACACGTCCTGCGACTTCGGCTCGCTCAAGCGTTACACGTGCTCCGCTCACACGCAGGTTCGCGCCACAGAGGGAACGCGACGATGTAAACGCGACGATGTAAACGCGCGACGCACAATTATCCGCGTGTCTGGGGTAGGCGTGAGTTCACTGGGCAGAGCGGAGCGCTTTTTGACCGCACGACCCGTGACCAGCGCAGAGCGCGCGTCCGATTACCGCGGCCGGGTTGGTCCGGTGCTGCGTGAGAGGTTCAACGTCCGGTACGTAATGGGAGCTAACAACGGTCCACCGAAGGAGCTTCCTCGCTGAGCGTTTGGTGGGTGGGTGGGTAGGTGGGTGGGTGGGTGGGTGGATGGGTGGGTGGGTGGGTGGATGGGGGCGGGAAGTTGCGGGGTGGGGGGGTGGGGCCGTGTGTCAAGATCCGGCCAATCGGAGGCGCCGCAGCTCGCAGGAGACCCCTTGTGGAAGCGACGCGCGCGCTCATTGGCTGGCCGGCTGAGTGACGTCACACTGCCGCCACCCGCGGTGTTACCGTTACGCCGCGATGGGTAGGTCAGCGGCTCGGGTTTCGATCTGTGACCCCCGCCGCCCCCCCCCCCCCCCCCCGGCTGGCCGGCTGGGCCGCTAACACCGTGTCTCCTGCGCCGCCGCGGACAGGGCCTGAGTCCCGGCTGCTACGACACGTACAACGCGGACATCGACTGCCAGTGGATCGACATCACAGACGTCATCCCCGGCAGATACATCCTGCGGGTGAGTTGAGATCCCCCCACACTCACCCCCAAACCCCCGTGCAGCCTTCCAACGCACTGTTGAGGTACGTGCTGCCGTTAGCGAGCACCGGTGAAGGCCGGCACGGCGCACGAGGTGGTGGCCAGCACCGCCTTTGTCTCCCCAGTTGCTGACGCTTCATACGCAGCGCGCCAGGTACTCGGGCAAGGCCGAGTCGAGCGTTTAGCCGACACAACCCTACCTGTAAAGTTACCCCATATACTAACCCTGCTCCTAGCATTACCCCATATACTAACCCTGCTCCTAGCATTACCCCATATACTAACCCAGCTCCTAGCATTACCCCATATACTAACCCAGCTCCTAGCATTACCCCATATACTAACCCAGCTCCTAGCATTACCCCATATACTAACCCCGCTCCTACATTACCCCATATACTAACCCCGCTCCTAGCATTACCCTATATACTAACTCAGCTCCTAGCATTACCCCATATACTAACCCAGCTCCTAGCATTACCCCATATACTAACCCCGCTCCTAGCATTACCCCATATACTAACCCAGCTCCTAGCATTACCCCATATACTAACCCAGCTCCTAGCATTACCCCATATACTAACCCCGCTCCTACATTACCCCATATACTAACCCAGCTCCTAGCATTACCCCATATACTAACCCAGCTCCTAGCATTACCCCATATACTAACCCAGCTCCTAGCATTACCCCATATACTAACCCCACTCCTACATTACCCCATATACTAACCCAGCTCCTAGCATTACCCCATATACTAACCCAGCTCCTAGCATTACCCCATATACTAACCCAGCTCCTAGCATTACCCCATATACTAACCCCTCTCCTACATTACCCCATATACTAACCCAGCTCCTAGCATTACCCATATACTAACCCAGCTCCTAGCATTACCCCATATACTAACCCCCCTCCTAGCATTACCCCATATACTAACCCAGCTCCTAGCATTACCCCATATACTAACCCAGCTCCTAGCATTACCCCATATACTAACCCCGCTACTAGTATTACCCCATATACTAACCCCGCTCCTAACATTACCCCATATACTAGCCCCGCTCCTAACATTACCCCATATACTAACCCCGCTCCTAGCATTACCCCATATACTAACCTCGCTCCTAGCATTACCCCATATACTAACCCCGCTCCCAGCATTACCCCATATACTAACCCCGCTCCTAGCATTACCCCATATACTAACCCCGCTCCTAACATTACCCCATATACTAACCCCGCTCCTAGCATTACCCCATATACTAACCCAGCTCCTAGCATTACCCCATATACTAACCCAGCTACTAGTATTACCCCATATACTAACCCCGCTCCTAACATTACCCCATATACTAACCCCGCTCCTAGCATTACCCCATATACTAACCCAGCTCCTAGCATTACCCCCATATACTAACCCCGCTCCTAGCATTACCCCATATACTAACCCAGCTCCTAGCAATACCCCATATACTAACCCAGCTCCTAGCATTACCCCATATACTAACCCCGCTACTAGTATTACCCCATATACTAACCCAGCTCCTAGCATTACCCCATATACTAACCCAGCTCCTAGCATTACCCCATATACTAACCCAGCTCCTAGCATTACCCCATATACTAACCCCGCTCCTACATTACCCCATATACTAACCCCGCTCCTAGCATTACCCTATATACTAACTCAGCTCCTAGCATTACCCCATATACTAACCCAGCTCCTAGCATTACCCCATATACTAACCCCGCTCCTAGCATTACCCCATATACTAACCCAGCTCCTAGCATTACCCCATATACTAACCCAGCTCCTAGCATTACCCCATATACTAACCCCGCTCCTACATTACCCCATATACTAACCCAGCTCCTAGCATTACCCCATATACTAACCCAGCTCCTAGCATTACCCCATATACTAACCCAGCTCCTAGCATTACCCCATATACTAACCCCACTCCTACATTACCCCATATACTAACCCAGCTCCTAGCATTACCCCATATACTAACCCAGCTCCTAGCATTACCCCATATACTAACCCAGCTCCTAGCATTACCCCATATACTAACCCCGCTCCTACATTACCCCATATACTAACCCAGCTCCTAGCATTACCCCATATACTAACCCAGCTCCTAGCATTACCCCATATACTAACCCCACTCCTAGCATTACCCCATATACTAACCCAGCTCCTAGCATTACCCCATATACTAACCCAGCTCCTAGCATTACCCCATATACTAACCCCGCTACTAGTATTACCCCATATACTAACCCCGCTCCTAACATTACCCCATATACTAGCCCCGCTCCTAACATTACCCCATATACTAACCCCGCTCCTAGCATTACCCCATATACTAACCTCGCTCCTAGCATTACCCCATATACTAACCCCGCTCCCAGCATTACCCCATATACTAACCCCGCTCCTAGCATTACCCCATATACTAACCCCGCTCCTAACATTACCCCATATACTAACCCCGCTCCTAGCATTACCCCATATACTAACCCAGCTCCTAGCATTACCCCATATACTAACCCAGCTACTAGTATTACCCCATATACTAACCCCGCTCCTAACATTACCCCATATACTAACCCCGCTCCTAGCATTACCCCATATACTAACCCAGCTCCTAGCATTACCCCATATACTAACCCCGCTCCTAGCATTACCCCATATACTAACCCAGCTCCTAGCAATACCCCATATACTAACCCAGCTCCTAGCATTACCCCATATACTAACCCCGCTACTAGTATTACCCCATATACTAACCCCGCTCCTAGCATTACCCTATATACTAACCCCGCTCCCAGCATTACCCCATATACTAACCCTGCTCCTAGCATTACCCCATATACTAACCCCGCTCCTAACATTACCCCATATACTAACCCCGCTCCTAGCATTACCCCATATACTAACCCAGCTCCTAGCATTACCCCATATACTAACCCAGCTACTAGTATTACCCCATATACTAACCCCGCTCCTAACATTACCCCATATACTAACCCCGCTCCTAGCATTACCCCATATACTAACCCCGCTCCTAACATTACCCCATATACTAACCCCGCTCCTAGCATTACCCCAATACTAACCCAGCTCCTAGCATTACCCCATATACTAACCCCGCTCCTAGCATTACCCCATATACTAACCCAGCTCCTAGCAATACCCCATATACTAACCCAGCTCCTAGCATTACCCCATATACTAACCCCGCTACTAGTATTACCCCATATACTAACCCCGCTCCTAGCATTACCCCATATACTAACCCCGCTCCCAGCATTACCCCATATACTAACCCCGCTCCTAGCATTACCCCATATACTAACCCCGCTCCTAACATTACCCCATATACTAACCCCGCTCCTAGCATTACCCCATATACTAACCCAGCTCCTAGCATTACCCCATATACTAACCCAGCTACTAGTATTACCCCATATACTAACCCCGCTCCTAACATTACCCCATATACTAACCCCGCTCCTAGCATTACCCCATATACTAACCCCGCTCCTAACATTACCCCATATACTAACCCCGCTCCTAGCATTACCCCATATACTAACCCCGCTCCTAGCATTACCCCATATACTAACCCAGCTACTAGCATTATCCCATATACTAACCCTGCTCCTAGCATTACCCCATATACTAACCCAGCTCCTAGCATTACCCCATATACTAACCCCGCTACTAGTATTACCCCATATACTAACCCCGCTCCTACATTACCCCATATACTAACCCCGCTCCCAGCATTACCCCATATACTAACCCCGCTACTAGTATTACCCCATATACTAACCCCGCTCCTACATTACCCCATATACTAACCCCGCTCCCAGCATTACCCCATATACTAACCCCGCTACTAGTATTACCCCATATACTAACCCCGCTACTAGTATTACCCCATATACTAACCCCCTTTGTTTTCCTTTCCCCCACACCTCCAATGAGCACGGTTGGATACATACGGTGGTTCGAAAGAAGTTCAACATACGAAGAAGCTCAACAGACATAAGTTGCTACACTATCCTCCAACTCACAACCGCACCACCCACGATGCCACCCCTAACACCGAACCCCCACGCCTGTGCCCCCCCCCCCCCGCGCAGATACACGTGAACCCCAACTACTTGGTGAGGGAGGTGGACTTCACGAACAACGTGGTGCGCTGCAACGTGCACTACACGGGGCGCGTCGTGTACGCCAACGGGTGCCGCATCACGCAGTGAGTACACGCAGCACGCAGTGAGTACACGCAGTGAGTACACGCAGTGAGTACACGCAGCACGCAGTGAGTACACGCAGTGAGTACACGCAGTGAGTACACGCAGCACGCAGTGAGTACACGCAGTGAGTACACGCAGTGAGTACACGCAGCACGCAGTGAGTACACGCAGCACGCAGTGAGTACACGCAGTGAGTACACGCAGCACGCAGTGAGTACACGCAGCACGCAGTGAGTACACACAGCACGCAGTGAGTACACGCAGCACGCAGTGAGTACACGCAGCACGCAGTGAGTACACGCAGTGAGTACACGCAGCACGCAGTGAGTACACGCAGCACGCAGTGAGTACACGCAGCACGCAGTGAGTACACGCAGTGAGTACACGCAGCACGCAGTGAGTACACGCAGCACGCAGTGAGTACACGCAGTGAGTACACGCAGCACGCAGTGAGTACACGCAGCACGCAGTGAGTACACACAGTGAGTACACACATCACGCAGTGAGTACACGCAGCACGCAGTGAGTACACGCAGCACGCAGTGAGTACACACAGTGAGTACACACATCACGCAGTGAGTACACGCAGCACGCAGTGAGTACACGCAGCACGCAGTGAGTACACACAGTGAGTACACACAGTGAGTACACGCATCACGCAGTGAGTACACGCAGCACGCAGTGAGTACACACAGTGAGTACACACAGTGAGTACACACAGTGAGTACACGCAGCACGCAGTGAGTACACACAGTGAGTACACACAGTGAGTACACACAGTGAGTACACGCAGCACGCAGTGAGTACACGCATCACGCAGTGAGTACACACAGTGAGTACACACAGTGAGTACACGCATCACGCAGTGAGTACACGCAGCACGCAGTGAGTACACACAGTGAGTACACGCAGTGAGTACACACAGTGAGTACACACAGTGAGTACACGCAGCACGCAGTGAGTACACGCATCACGCAGTGAGTACACACAGTGAGTACACACAGTGAGTACACGCATCACGCAGTGAGTACACGCAGCACGCAGTGAGTACACACAGTGAGTACACACAGTGAGTACACGCAGCACGCAGTGAGTACACGCATCACGCAGTGAGTACACACAGTGAGTACACACATCACGCAGTGAGTACACGCAGTGAGTACACGCAGCACGCAGTGAGTACACACAGTGAGTACACGCAGCACGCAGTGAGTACACGCAGTGAGTACACGCAGCACGCAGTGAGTACACACATCACGCAGTGAGTACACGCAGCACACAGTGAGTACACACAGTGAGTACACACAGTGAGTACACGCAGTGAGTACACGCAGCACGCAGTGAGTACACACATCACGCAGTGAGTACACGCAGTGAGTACACGCAGCACGCAGTGAGTACACGCAGTGAGTACACGCAGTGAGTACACACATCACGCAGTGAGTACACGCAGTGAGTACACGCAGCACACAGTGAGTACACACATCACGCAGTGAGTACACGCAGCACGCAGTGAGTACACGCAGTGAGTACACGCAGTGAGTACACGCAGCACGCAGTGAGTACACGCAGTGAGTACACGCAGTGAGTACACGCAGCACGCAGTGAGTACACGCAGTGAGTACACGCAGTGAGTACACACAGTGAGTACACGCAGTGAGTACACGCAGCACGCAGTGAGTACACGCAGTGAGTACACGCAGTGAGTACACGCAGCACGCAGTGAGTACACGCAGTGAGTACACGCAGCACGCAGTGAGTACACGCAGTGAGTACACGCAGTGAGTACACGCAGCACGCAGTGAGTACACGCAGTGAGTACACGCAGTGAGTACACGCAGCACGCAGTGAGTACACGCAGTGAGTACACGCAGTGAGTACACACAGTGAGTACACGCAGCACGCAGTGAGTACACACAGTGAGTACACACAGTGAGTACACACAGTGAGTACACACAGCACGCAGTGAGTACACGCAGTGAGTACACGCAGCACGCAGTGAGTACACGCATCACGCAGTGAGTACATGCAGTCAGTACACGCAGTGAGTACACACAGCACACAGTGAGTACACACAGTGAGTACACACAGCACACAGTGAGTACACACAGTGAGTACACACAGTGAGTACACACAGTGAGTACACACAGCACGCAGTGAGTACACGCAGTGAGTACACGCAGCACGCAGTGAGTACACGCATCACGCAGTGAGTACACGCAGTGAGTACACACAGCACACAGTGAGTACACACAGTGAGTACACGCAGTGAGTACACGCAGTGAGTACACACAGCACACAGTGAGTACACACAGTGAGTACACACAGCGAGTACACACAGTGAGTACACGCAGTACGCAGTGAGTACACGCAGTGAGTACACACAGTGAGTACACACAGTGAGTACACACAGCACGCAGTGAGTACACGCAGTGAGTACACGCAGCACGCAGTGAGTACACGCATCACGCAGTGAGTACACGCAGTGAGTACACACAGCACACACAGTGAGTACACACAGTGAGTACACGCAGTGAGTACACGCAGTGAGTACACACAGCACACAGTGAGTACACACAGTGAGTACACACAGCGAGTACACACAGTGAGTACACGCAGCACGCAGTGAGTACACGCAGTGAGTACACGCAGTGAGTACACGCAGTGAGTACACACAGCACACAGTGAGTACACGCAGTGAGTACACGCAGCACGCAGTGAGTACACGCAGTGAGTACACGCAGCACGCAGTGAGTACACGCAGTGAGTACACGCAGCACGCAGTGAGTACACGCAGTGAGTACACACAGTGAGTACACACAGTGAGTACACGCAGCACGCAGTGAGTACACACAGTGAGTACACGCAGCACGCAGTGAGTACACGCAGTGAGTACACGCAGTGAGTACACACAGCACGCAGTGAGTACACGCAGTGAGTACACGCAGTGAGTACACACAGCACACAGTGAGTACACGCAGTGAGTACACGCAGCACGCAGTGAGTACACGCAGTGAGTACACGTAGTGAGTACACGCAGTGAGTACACACAGTGAGTACACACAGTGAGTACACGCAGTGAGTACACACAGCAGCACAAAGCAGCACAACGCAGGGGGGCAAAGCGTTGGGATGCCAATTCAGGGTCAGGGGTGAGTGTTGGGTGTGAGTGCCGCGGTGCAGGAATGGAGACGGGAGTTTGTGTTGCAGTGAAATGTAAATGATGAAGTGTACACACACCACACACTACACACACACCACACACACGAGACACTGAGAGCGACTCGCCATCCTTGAGTGCGAGGGCAGGAGGGGGCGATAATTTCGCACCCAGGAATGCAACCCTGCCTTACCCACGAGGAATATTATTGCCTTGCCCAACGCGGAATTTTCCAGGAACCTAACCCCCCCCCCCCCACCACGCGTTCAGCGAGGTCTGCCTGTACACAAGAGACATAGCACGCAAACACAAGAACACAACAAGCAGACACAACACCCAAACACAATGTACAACACACAACACGTAAACACAACACAGACACACACAACACACAGACACAATGCACAACACGCAAACACAACACACAACACACAGACAACACAGACACAACACACGTGTACTACGCAATGTCAAGACGTGTCTTGGCGTGTAACACACGTGTGTTACGTCTCTTCTCTCTTTTTCAGAATGTGACGGAGCTTTGGAGCGGCTTAAACGAGACGGAAGCCTGCACAAGTTACTTCATTTTGCTAAAGTAACAAATAACTAGAATTGCCATGACGAGGGTTGTACTGTATCATTGAAACTATACTAAAACCTTAGCCATATCGTTAAAAAAAACAATGAAAACTAACTGCGTCTAGAGATATTCGGACAACAAGAACAGATTCTAAGACCCGGTCTAAACGATCCCAAGACCTGATCTACAGGCGTCTAAATGTTAACCCCCTGATTCCAAGGCCTGATCAATCCGAGTCTCAATCAAAACCTTGATCTTCAAATCTGCTCTCCTCCGAGTCTCGAATCAAAACACCCCCCCCACCCCCCCCCCCCTCTAAGCTTCGAGGGGTCACGTCCCGTGGTGGCAGCAGCAGCAGTAGCATCCTCAAGTCAGTGTTCTTCACTCGTGTCCAGAGGTTGCGGGACACTTTCGCCGATAAGACATGGGCAGTGTGTGAGTGTGCGTGCGTGCGTGCGTGCGTGCGTGCGCCGCCACACATTTTGAAACCATTGGGGGGTTTGACAGCCGCACGATGGTGATGATGGTGATGATGATGGGCGGGTGTTTTCACCATCTGTGTATTGTCGGGGGCCGCACTGAAGGCCACCCCGGGGCTGTCAGTGGCCCGCGTGTGTGGGCCTTTGCAATGATGAAGAACGCTGCCCTGAAAGTCACCGGTGGTTCTTTTAAACAGATCTCAACTTCCCGCGGGCAACATTCAGCCCACCCCAGGTCTCTGCTCCCAGGTGTCTCCCCCCCCCCAGGTGTCTCCCCCCCCAGGTGTCTCCTGCACTTGGGGATGAGCAATGTCAATGCTGTCCTCCCACACGGTTAAAGGACGGCGGACTGAACCCATACACTCGCACACGCCGTTCTATATGTAAACATACCGTAGGCTGTATTTTATTTTTTACAAAGTAGGGATTTTATTGTTGTTGTTGTTGTAACCTCTGCCGTTTAAACATTGTATCGCGGTCACACGGCAACGCACGACTCGCATCAGAAGCACGGACACACGCCACCGCCATCCCCTTCTCTCTCATCCCGAGTGGAACTTCCTCTGCGCCGTACGTAGGACAACCGTGCCGACCGGAGGTGCTCGGCCAAAACCGGCCGCGGGCGACCGTCACTTTGAGTCGTGGCGCATCCTGTTCGCACGGGGCCACGACGAGCGAATTGACCCGATAACCCCCCCACCCCCCCACCCCCACACCCCAAGGGGTCATCGCATAATTCGGTTCAAATTAGAACCGCGAAAGCGATTGCCACTTGAGAGATGGACCGCGAGACCCCAACCCTTGGCCGTGTCGCGGGCTCCCACCGAACGCGGTGCGGGTGGCCCATCGTGCGCCGCCCGCTCGCCACACTGCGCCGCTCGCGACGATGTTGCACGCCGAACTTCCTTTGCACCGTACGTAGCCAACCGTGGCTCATCGGAGGTACGGCGGGAGGGGACAAGATAGAACGCACGCACGCACAAAGCGGAAGAACACAAACGTGGCACCGTCTTGTCCCATTGTCTGTGCCCTCCGTCCTGTCTCCCATGATGCCCCGTCGCATCTCCCAGGCCACGTGGTGGTCCCCTGCCTCCAGTGACGACGTTGTCGGCTGCGAGGTTCGGCCGCCCGCGATTTGCGAGGTGCACGCGCGGCGTGACACCGACCCACGCCATCATTTGTATCTGTGTTCCATTTAACGCGAGAAAATGTTAATCGTACTTTTACGTAAACACACTTCCCGTTTGATGGCTGGGTTGACGGAGGGTAACGTTGAACGAGCGGAGGTGGTGGGGGTCGTATTACGAACCGGTAACCAAACTCCACGCTTTGAGTTCACGGTGGCTATGAGATGTCATCTCCCTTGCCTGGTACACAGGAGGTCGTGGGTTCCATCCCGACCCTGACACCTGCCGTATATTTGGAGTTTGTGTGTCTCTCTCTCTCTCATCACGGTGGCTAGGAGATGTCATCTCCCTCGCCTGGTACACAGGAGGTCGTGGGTTCGATCCCGACCCCATCGCCTGCCGTATATTTGTAGTCTCCCCGTGGTCGCGTGGATTCTTCTCTCCAGGTCCTCTGGTTATTCCCTCCACATTTAGAATCAACAAGTGCGTTTAGAGTCTTTCGTAGCTGTACATTTCCACGTTTGTGATGGGCAGGTCGCTGCTTAAAATTATCTATATAGCTCAGTGGGCCCTAGTAAACTAAAAGAGTAATTGAGTTTAGTATGTTTAGTATGGGTGTATATACACAATTAAACCCCACACGAGCCGTCAAGCGTTAATTAACCCCTTCCCATTCCGATGACGTACGTGTAATGTAGATCTAACGTGCAAGTAACGTCATCGGTTTTTCTTCCGGTTCCGTTCCCATGACGTACACGTAACGTCATCAGAACTGGACCGGAACAAAAACTAAGATAATCACTCTGCTTAACACGTAGGCTTTCGCTACCAACATCATCCATAATACAGGGTTTATTTTTTGGAGTTAGATCGCGATCTAACTAAAAAAACAACCCCTGTATTATATAAAGTAAACTCTACCGATACCGAGGCTCTCACAAGCCCACGCGGGGAAGGGCCGTATGTGGCCCAGCTTGGCCGCCGGCTATCGTAGAGTGGCGGCGGTCGTGTCGCTACAGTTCTCTGCGGTGATGTACGACGTCTTTAACAAGCAAAGGCGCTGCTGCTGTTGCTGCTACGCCTCTCGAAATAAAACTCACTGCTGAGCCGCTCACGCGTTCCCGAGATTCCGTGGTGAATGGGGACACACCACCCACTCGCCCACCCGCCCACTCGCCCACTCGCCCACCCGCCCACTCATCCACCCACCCACCCACTCACCCACCCACTCACCCACCCGCACGCCTGCCCTGCGACTTGCAGGCCGTCTCGGACACCACGGAGGGACAAAGTGTGGTTATAAAAAGTCGGACAAAATTGTCTCTTTCGTTTCAAACGTAAAACAAATATTTTGCGGCATCACCGCACACGGTGGTGGAGGGGTGGTGAGGAACAGCCGATGGCGCTGATATCAGCCACTGATGATGATATCATCCATCCACTGCTATCATCTGCATCATCGTCATCTTCTTCACATCACATCGCTATCATCAGTCATCGTCACATCATCATAAGCATCAATTATAATCACATCAGAGTTATCAATCATAATCAAATTAATATCTTCACATCAACAACACCATCACAATCATCATCAACATTATCATTACCACAATGAGGGATTATGAAACCACCATCGCCATCTCTTCGTAATTCTCAAGTCATCCCATGGACCCTCTGGCCCTCGCCAGGGTAATGTGGAATTCTCAGCAACGGCCGAGGCCCCACCAGTGGAGACGACGCTCGCCCGTGTAGGGGCCCCAGCTTTTATGTTCTTTGCGAGATGAAGGTGCAGCCCCTGGAATTGCCCGTTCCCTACACTGCCGGCAGAAGGGAGCTCGACAGAGTGCCCCATCCTCTCTAGGCAGCGTATCCGTTCCTTCGCGACCACGCCGGCAAGACGTCTTAAGAAGAGGCTGCACGGGGGGGTACCACCCGCACTTTGCCGCACCACACGGGGGACCTGCCGATCGACCGACTGCGGTGAAGCCATTCAAATACTTGCGGAGTGCACAAGCGGTGGGAGGGAGCAATTTGATGAACTTGGGGCACCGGCGGTGGCTAGATGTTGTCTCCCTCGCCGGGTATACGGGAGGTCGTGGGTTCGATGCCCACCCTGACGCATGCTGCTGCTGCTGTGTATTTGGAGTCTGCGTGTCTCTCTCTCTCATCATCACGGTGGCTAGGAGATGTTAGCTACCTCGCCGGGTATACGGGAGGTCGTGGGTTCGATGCCCACCCTGACGCCTGCTGCTGCTGCTGTGTATTTGGAGTCTGCGTGTCTCTCTCTCTCTCCCCGTGAATTCTACTCAGGGCTTTTCGGGTTTCCCCCCCTCCACATTATTTAGAATCAACGTCACGCATTTAGAGAGTAATTTGACCGCTATAGATTTCCACGTGATGATGATAAGCCACTTCGTTGCGCTAACATTTATGACAGGTCGCTTCTGAAAGAAAGAGTTGCTTCAGTGGGCCTTACACCTGGTAAAATAAAAAATAAAAATTTGCTTTAATTTGTCCCGTTGCTTCAACTGCCACGCCGGGGAGGGGGAAGATTGAATCTAACCGGCGACGTCTAGATCGCAAGTCCTGCGTGGTAGCCATCAGGCCGGGACAACGCCCAAAACGATCCGGGAGCCCATCGCTCTCTCAAAACCACGCGGCTCAATCGCTGCCGCCCCCCTCAACTGCTTTGTCCACATCCCGAGCGAGCAGCTGGGCAGCGAGTGGCGTGGCCCAAGTCCCCAGCCCCTCTTCCTGCGATAGCTCCACCCTTCCCTTCCCTCCCTCCCTCCCTCCCACCAACCCCCCAATCAACGTCAGGATCGTAACGACCAATCGCGCGTTCACAAACGGCGTCGCGCGGTGACGAAGACGACGATCCGCCGCTAGAACGTCACCGGCGCCGAGCGACCGGTTGCCGCAAGAGCTGCCCTCCGCACGCAAAGCGATTCAGTTGCACGCAACCGAGTCTCTTCGCAACCGATTGCTCGCAACCGATCGCTCCAGCTCCAACCGCCGCCACATCTCTCCCCTGCGTCAGTCCTTCAGTCGTCAAACTTGATCTTCTTGCCGGCGAACTCGGGGATTTTGCCCAGCTGCTCCTTGCGTTTGCGGCTCGCTTCCCACGACGGGTGGAGGCTGCCCGTCGGCAGCGCTGCCCGTTGCCCGTCCGGAGCGCCCCTACTACCGCCGCCGGCCCCACCCGCACCCCGCGGGCCCCCCCGAGCGGGGAGCCGGCCAGCTCCCCTACGCCCGCCGGCAGAAGCGGAGGCCCCTGAATCAAACGTAGAAATGAGTAAATGATTAGTTGCGAGAGTGTCATAATATCAGTGTGAATATTTGCACATAAAAAAATCCAAACATCCCCTGCGGTGGAACGCGGTGGCGGTGAGGGGGGGCGGGGGGGGGGGTGCAACGCGACGGGTGGAGAGGCCGTACCTGGGTAGGGTTTGCGATCGTTGCCCGATGGGAAGTGTTTGCTACGAGAGAAACGGGAGAATTATGAACGTATCGGTTAGTGTCGAGATACTTTATTTTCTTAACATGCATTTGCGTGCACGCGCACAGACACACACAGACACACACACAGTCACACACACAGACAAAGATTCCCTGTATAGCCTGAACAGACTGTAGGGGCAAGTGCTGTTAGCGAGCACCTATGAATGCCAGAACGGTACACGAGGGGGTGGGTGGCCAGCACCACGCCCGGCCGCCTTTGTCTCCCCAGTGGCGATGTTTACACACCGCACCAGGTACTCATTTTAGGCTGAGTAGACCTAGGGGAGGCCCAGGACCGGTTCAGATAATCGTCACTTGGTGTTGGCCATGAGCGGGAATCGAACCCGGATCGCCGGGTTCATAGCGCAGCGCGCTAACCGCTACACTACCGCTCCCCACACACAGACACACACGCACACAGATACACACACACAGACACACACACACAGACACACCCTCCCCCCTTCCTGTGTAGCCTACACAGGCTGTCGGGGCAAGTGGTGTGAGTGAGCAGCGCAGTAACCTAGGAGAACGGCTAAACTAAACTTTTTTTTTAACAGGTATGGTAAAAGAAAGCTGGCTATTACTAATGACAGCTCAACGAAGTGGCTTATCATCATGTGGAAGTGTATAGCGACCAGATGCTATTAAAAGCATGTTTATGAATGTTGGAAGGAAAAACCGGAGGATCTGGAGCAAAATCCACTCGACTACGGGGAGAGAGACACACAAACTCCAAAATTATAAGAAGCGTCAGGGTCGGGATCGAACCCACGATTTTCTGGATACAAGGCGAGGTAGTTAACATTTCGCCGCTCGCACTCACCCACCACACACTCTCCTATCACACTCTCCCATCACTCACCCATCACTCACCCATCACTCACCCATCACACACTCACCCATCACTCACCCATCACACGCTCACCCATCACACACTCACCCATCACACCACTCCCATCACACACTGACCCATCACACACTCACCCATCACTCACCCATCACACACTGACCCATCACACACTCACCCATCACTCACCCATCACACGCTCACCCATCACACGCTCACCCATCACACGCTCACACATCACACACTCACCCGCGTCCGCCCTTCGCTCCCCGCGACTCCCCGAGGCTGCAGAACTGCGTCGTCATCCCCGCTCGGCCTCCCGGCCTTCGGCGCTGCGCACGCCCTCGCCTCGCACCTCCATCGCCGCCATCGCCATCACCGTCACTGTCACTGTCACTCCGGTCACCACCCCGCAGCGCTCCGCTTTCCTTCCGCCGCCTCTTCCCCCTCCTCCTCCCGGGCCCGCCCCGTCGCACTTTCCCGATGAAGAAATCGTCGTCGCTCTCGTCGTCTTCGCTCTCATCGTCGTCGTCCTTGTCATCGCCGCCGCCGCCGTGCCGGCCCGCGCCCTTCCCCCCGAGTCCCTTCTGCCTGCGGCAGAACCGCTCCTCGGTGCTGTCGTCAAACTCCGGCTCCGGCGGGGGCGGCGGCTCGTCGCTCGCGACGTCACCGGCGGCCGCGAGGGCCGTGCGCTCCTCTCCGCTCGGCCCCACGCGGCCGCCGGACGGCGTCGTCGCCGCGGCGACCGCGGTCCAAGTGGCCGCGGAAGAGCCTCCGGTGGGCCCTCCGCTCGCCGCGCCAGCCACGCTCGCCACGGCTCCCTTCGCTCTCCCCAAGATCTCCGTCCCGACAATCGTTCCTCTCCTCTCCTCGCTCTTGCCGACCCGGCTCAGTCTCGCTCTGTTCGCCGCCCCCGTATTCAGTCTCTCTTCTTTCTCTCCTCCCTCGTCCGAACTCTCTTCCGCGCTCTCCCCGGCAATCTCCTCCGCGCTCTCCCCCACGCTCTCCCCCGCACTCTCCCCCTCGCTCTCCCCAGCGATCCCCCCGGCATTCTCCCCCGTGCTCTCCTCCACGTTCTCCCCAGCAATCTCCTCCTCGCTCTCCCTCTCACTCTCCCCCTCACTCTCCCCCTCACTCTCCACCTCGCTCTCCCCGGCAATCTCCCCCACGCTCTCCCCCTCGCTCTCCCCCTCGCCAGGCCTCGGGGAAGCCTTGCTGTCGTCTGGCACCGTTGCGCGTGCCGCTTTGAACGAGTCGAGGGCGGCTGTGAACAAAACGGCGTGCCGCGTGCTGTACAGGTCAACCACATCAACACTGAACACGCACGCACACACGCACACACACACACCCACACGCACAATACACGCAAAGGCCTCACGCACTGCGTGATCACTTGTCGCACGTGGAACGTGCACACCGTTACAACGCGGTACACACGCACACGTTACAACGCGGTACACACGTTACAACGCGGTACACACGCACACGTTACAACGCGGTACACACGTTACAACGTGGTACACACGTTACAACGCGGTACACACGTTACAACGCGGTACACACGTTACAACGCGGTACACACGCACACGTTACAACGCGGTACACACGTTACAACGTGGTACACACGCACACGTTACAACGCGGTACACACGTTACAACGTGGTACACACGCACACGTTACATCGCGGTACACACGTTACAACGCGGTACACACGCACACGTTACAACGCGGTACACACGTTACAACGTGGTACACACGTTACAACGCGGTACACACGTTACAACGTGGTACACACGCACACGTTACATCGCGATACACACGTTACAACGCGGTACACACGCACACGTTACAACGCGGTACACACGTTACATCGCGGTACACACGTTACAACGCGGTACACACGCACACGTTACAACGTGGTACACACGTTACATCGCGGTACACACGCACATGTTACATCGCGGTACACACGTTACATCGCGGTACACACGCACACGTTACAACGTGGTACACACGTTACAACGCGGTACACACGCACACGTTACAACGTGGTACACACGCACACGTTACATCGCGGTACACACGTTACATCGCGGTACACACGCACATGTTACATCGCGGTACACACGTTACAACGCGGTACACACGTTACAACGCGGTACACACGCACACGTTACAACGTGGTACACACGCACACCGTTAATGTCGTGGCTTGGCTCTCCAACACACCGGCTAGTGCTGTACTAGTACACTACACTATACACTACACAATACACTACACTACTATACAATACACTACACACTAGTGCTGTACTAGTGATTAGTGACGAATTGGCCACGTTCTGTTTACGTGACAACCCTTACTGGTTGGCTGTGTCGGGTGGTGGCGGGTTTAACGACACATTTACATATTTACGATCTAACCCACAAAAAAACGATATTATATTATGGATGCTATTGGTCGCAGAAGCCTACGCGTTAAACCAAAAACAATAGTCTGATATTTAGTTTAGAGTGGCTCCGCCACACCCATTGTGAGCACCCCTCCCCTGTGAGATGCTCGCTCCAGACGCTCACCCTTAATGGTGTCGATCTTGGCCCTGATGAGCGGGAAGGTGGAAAGTCGCGCCAACGCACGCTCCCTCGCCGTCGAGATGTCCTGGAATGACAGGCGCATCACCATCACTGGCATCGTCAACGTCACCACCACCACCATCATCATCTCCATCACCACCGCCATCATCATCTCCATCACAACCACCATTATCATCTCCATCACATCCCCACCATCATCATCTCCATCACAACCATCATCATCATCACCATAATCACCCACTACCACTATCACCTTTATTATGCCCATCACCATCATCATCATCACCATCATCATCATTATCATCACCATCATCATTGTCAACATTATCATCATCCCCACCATTATCATCTCCATCACATCCCCACCATCATCATCTCCATCACAACCACCATCATCATCACATGAAATCCATCATCATCACCATAATCACCCACTACCACTATCACCTTTATTATGCCCATCACCATCCTACTTATCATTCACCATTATCGGAACCATCATGCCACCTTTAATAATCACGAGCATCATCAGCAACACTACCACCACCCGCTTTAGCAACACCAACAACAATCACACGATGATGACCAACAACAACAGGATCATCAACAACGTCGACAGGACGGTTCCCGACAGAGTCACACTCGACCAAAACAAACAACAGACCGGCAGACCGCTCGTTGAACGGTGATTTAAAATACCACTTTTCAAACCGATTACAAAAAAATAACAACAACAACAAAGAACACGTTTTTACCTTCTTGCACACCGACTCAAACGTGATGTTCTCATAAAGGGCAGTCTTTGAAACCGTGTCTGGATCTAAATCCTGGAAAAGACAAACGCAACGACCGTGACGAGCCTCATCCGATGAATCTGTCTGCGTAATTCCGGGCGACCGTTTCTCGTCGAGGAACGTAAAAACCATCACGGGGACTCCGCTCATCCTCGCAGCCGCGGCTTTGCGAGCAATCCATTGAACGAAAGAGCTGCACGCACGCACGCGCGCATGTTGAACTTCTTTCGCACCGTACGTAGCCAATCGTGCTCACCGGAGGAGCGGGGGGAAGGACAAGAGACTAAACACAACGAAAAACAGTTCTGAATACGTTTGTTTGTCAATCTCGGTGATTTAAAAGTGCATCACAGCTCCCAGCAGCTTCCTGATATCGGAAGGGAGGAGCGTTCCAGACGGCCACAGAAGCGTATCTGAAAGCGCCGCGCGATGATGATGCGGTGTGACCATCGGCTTTATTCTATGGCTTTTGCCGTGTTGACATTCTTTTTAGTTTCATTCGGTTCACACCATTGGAACCTCCTTTGCCAGTAGCAAAATATGATGATTGCTTTTTTACCCTCGTATCTGGCAACAAAACTGACACCTTTTTTTACAAGGAGTCACGTTTGCATCGACCACAATACCTGCGTACGTACAATCACATTGTCAATCGACCCCCCATACGCAAGCTACGCATTTGGGTTAACCCCCCCTCTCTACCCTCCCATGCGTACGTACTAAACGGATGGCCCCCAAGGCTACACACGGGGGATCTGTGTCTTGGTGCCGGTCGGTACGTTTCCTGTGTTTCTCTTCCCCAACTCACCTTGACGGCATCGATCTCCTCCAGAAGCCGCTTCACCCTCCTGGCATTCTTTTGCAAATCTTCCTCCGAGCCCCTACGATGTACGGGGGCCGTGAGAACGTAAACAGAGGACATCGGCATCCAAAACTTCACGATTATTTCCTATTGGCAGGAAAATATGTGTGTGTGTGTGTGTTTTAAGAGCCACACACATTCATGTGGTCAGCCAGCATGATTATGAACGCCCTGTAACACAGAGGCTAGCAGTGTCAGGGTGTGAACCCAGCCCCTCTGAGATGCTGGGTCAGTGTCTCTGACACGGCCACTAAGAACACCCTGAGAGAGAGGAAACCAGTGTCAGGGTGTGAACCCTGGCCCTCTGAGCTGCTGGGTCAGCGTCTCTGACACGGCCACTAAGAACACCCTGAGAGAGAGGAAACCAGTCTCAGGGTGTGAACCCAGGCCCTCTGGGATGCTGGGTCAGTGTCTCTGACACGGCCACTAAGAACACCCTGAGAGAGAGAAAACCAGTGTCAGGGTGTGAACCCATGCTCTCTGAGATGCTGGGTCAGTGTCTCTGACACGGCCACTAAGAACACCCTGAGAGAGAGGAAACCAGTGTCAGGGTGTGAACCCATGCTCTCTGAGATGCTGGGTCAGTGTCTCTGACACGGCCACTAAGAACACCCTGAGAGAGAGAAAACCAGTGTCAGGGTGTGAACCCATGCTCTCTGAGATGCTGGGTCAGTGTCTCTGACACGGCCACTAAGAACACCCTGAGAGAGAAAAAACCAGTGTCAGGGTGTGAACCCATGCTCTCTGAGATGCTGGGTCAGTGTCTCTGACACGGCCACTAAGAACACCCTGAGAGAGAGAAAACCAGTGTCAGGGTGTGAACCCATGCTCTCTGAGATGCTGGGTCAGTGTCTCTGACACGGCCACTAAGAACACCCTGAGAGAGAGAAAACCAGTGTCAGGGTGTGAACCCATGCTCTCTGAGATGCTGGGTCAGTGTCTCTGACACGGCCACTAAGAACACCCTGAGAGAGAGGAAACCAGTCTCAGGGTGTGAACCCAGGCCCTCTGAGCTGCTGGGTCAGTGTCTCTGACACGGCCACTAAGAACACCCTGAGAGAGAGGAAACCAGTGTCAGGGTGTGAACCCAGGCCCTCTGAGATGCTGGGTCAGCGTCTCTGACACGGCCACTAAGAACAACCTGAGAGAGAGGCAACCAGTGTCAGGGTGTGAACCCAGGCTCTCGGAGATGCTGGGTCAGTGTCTCTGACACGGCCACTAAGAACACCCTGGGAGAGAGGAAACCAGTGTCAGGGTGTGAACCCAGGCTCTCTGAGATGCTGGGCCAGTGTCTCTGACACGGCCACTAAGAACACCCTGAGAGAGAGGAAACCAGTGTCAGGGTGTGAACCCAGGCTCTCTGGGCTGCTGGGTCAGTGTCTCTGACACGGCCATTATGACCCCCCCCCCCTCCCACTGCCCCCACCCCAGAGTCGTTCGTGGAGACTTACTTTTTCTTCCTGAGCGCAGCGAGGGAGCGAGCGAGTTTCCGCACAACGAGAATCTTCACTTTCCTCACGTCCTTCCTCATGCCCACAATCTGGAGACACAGCAAACATGCGCGCAGCAGCAGCAGGCAGCAGTAGCAGCAGTAGTAGTAGCAGCAGCAGTAGTAGCAGCAGCAGTAGCAGCAGCAGCAGGCAGCAGTAGCAGCAGCAGTAGTAGCAGCAGTAGTAGCAGCAGTAGCAGGCAGCAGCAGCAGCAGCATCAGCCCCGTGAGACATTGTTGCTAGTCCGGTTGCCGAACGAAAAGGTCGCGCTCAATACACACAAAGATCTTGCCGCAAATGAACCACGACAACTCGGTTGATCTCGTCGAGGGGCGTAAAGCACAATCACGCCAACTCCACTCATCCACGCAGCAGCAGCAGGCAGCAGCAGGCAGCAGCAGCAGGCAGCAGCAGCAGCAGGCAGCAGCAGCAGCAGCAGCAGCAGCAGCAGGCAGCAGCAGCAGGCAGCAGCAGCAGCAGCAGGCAGCAGCAGCAGCAGCAGCAGCAGCAGCAGCAGCAGGCAGCAGCAGCAGCAGCAGGCAGCAGCAGCAGCAGCAGCAGCAGGCAGCAGCAGCAGCAGGCAGCAGCAGCAGCAGCAGCAGCAGCAGGCAGCAGGCAGCAGCAGCAGGCAGCAGCAGCAGGCAGCAGCAGCAGCAGCAGCAGCAGCAGCAGCAGCAGCAGGCAGCAGCAGCAGGCAGCAGCAGCAGGCAGCAGCAGCAGGCAGCAGCAGCAGCAGCAGCAGCAGCAGCAGCAGCAGCAGCAGCAGCAGCAGCAGCAGCAGCAGCAGCAGCAGCAGCAGCAGCAGCAGCAGCAGCAGCAGCAGCAGCAGCAGCAGCAGCAGCGGCGGCTTTTCAGATGCACTTCTGCGGCCGTCTGGAACGCTCTTCCTTCCGATAACACATTCCTGCAGAGGGAGCTGCTGGTAGGAACGTTGGGTTTGCTCGGTCAATGGCCAGGGTCAACAGCGGCGTGGTGTATTCCGCAAATATGCCCGACTGTGAGGGCGGGCACAAGCCGGCGTGAGTAGGTTAAACGTTGAGTTTTATAAGGGCACCACGGGGTGACCAGCCAAGTATGGTAAAGTATGGTGAAGTGTGTTCAAATAACATCCCCACACAGCGTGGTGGGAGGCCCTCATCCAGCAGTGGAGTCATCAAAGCAAAGCTCCCCCGTATAGCCTTCGAATGGACTTTTGCGGCAAGTGCCGTCAGCGAGTAGCAGCACCTATGAAGGCCGGCGCGGCACACGAGTGGGGGTGGATGGCCAGGACCACCACCACCACCACACCACCACCACCACCACCACACCACCACCACCACACCACCACCACCACCACACCACCCCACCACCACCACGACACCACCACCACCACCACCACACCACCACCACACCACCACCACCACCACACCACCACCACCACCACACCACCACCACCACCACACCACCACCACCACCACCACACCACCACCACCACCACCACACCACCACACCACCACCACCACCACACCACCACCACCACCACACCACCACCACCACACCACCACCACCACCACACCACCACCACCACCACACCACCACCACCACCCCACCACCACCACCACCACCACACCACCACCACCACCACCACCACCACCACACCACCACCACCACCACCACACCACCACCACCACCACACCACCACCACCACGCCCGGCCGCCTTTGTCTCCCTTCGTGGCGATGTTGACTGCACACCGCACCAGGAACGCGCGCGTGAAATCCTCACCTCGTTATTCACAATCATGGGCTTCGCCATTATTCGCTCGGCAAGTGGACAAACTTAAGCCGGGTCTATCCGCGAAGAAGATTAAATGTTTGTCGTTAACGTTAAATGTTGGATTTTAATTCGCAATGCGTTTAAACTGCACACGTGTGCGCGCGAACACACACACACACGTGCTACGAACTTCCGGTCCCTTTGTAAACCAGCCCGGATGGAAACACCAAACGTAACAAAGAATAGTTCCGGTTCGTGGGTATACAGTACACATTTTTGATTAAGTTAGTTCATACATTTTTTTAAACGGTCACGTAACAGATGCCACAATGTCTTACACGGGGTTACAACATTGTCGTTTTAACTTTTAATTGCAATGCCAATGGAAATATTATGCTATATGCGGGTGGGGGGGGCGTTATTTATATGACCAGGGGAATGAAAAAAAGGTTCCGGACAGGTTGTCAATTCGCCGCGTGAACGATGAGCGACGTTTCGGTCAATGCCCCTTTTGCACAGCACATACATTCACTAGACCACTTGAATTTAATTCTCTCATTCTGTCCCGTGGTGTTGAGTGCACCCTCATGTGTTCGATCTGGCCCACTCTATGTTGCTGCGGAGAAGGCTCGTTACCCGAAACGTCGCATGTTATATATTTTACCGCTCCCCCTTCTCCTCCCCCCCCGTCTCTCTCTTAATTAATGCACACGCCATTGGAACCTCCTTTTCCAGTAGCAAAATATGATAATTGGGTTTTTACCCTTTTATTTGGCAACAAAACTGACACCTTTTTTTTTACAAGGAGTCATGTTTGCATTGACCACAATACCTGCGGTCGGAATGCAAACAAAAAACATAACTCTGATAATGATATGCACTGTCCTTCAAGTTGATTGGTCCACACCTGAGACAGCTTTCCTTAGAGCCTAGTCTCACATGGTGTTGGACCAGATGACACCAAAAGGCGCACAACTCAAAGACAATGCACCATCAGAGTATGAGAGCTCGGGGTAAGCATTTACACCATTGGAACCTCATTTGCCAGTAGCATAATATGATAATTGTTTTTTTTACCCTTTTATCTGGCAACAATTTCAAGGAAAGTGCATACATTACCAGAGTTGTATTTTTTGTTTGCATTCCGACCGCAGGTATTGTGGTCAATGCAAATATGACTCCTTGTAAAAAAGGTGTCAGTTTTGTTGCCAGATAGAAGGGTAAAAAAACAATAATGCACACGCGTTAACCCGTGGCTGCCTCTGCTCGAGGTGTCACGATGCATCGACGATTAATCGATTAATGACGGATTGTTTTTGTGTGTTGAACGAAACTCGTCGAATCAGAGAATCGATTGGACACCTGCAGCCGCTAGAGGGCGCTGCATTCACCGCAGGCTGAGACCACGATAAATTAGGAATGATGAAAATCAGAACCTTTATGAGGATTGGAGGAATCCGATCAGCTATGAAGGTATTTTTTACGGATGTCAAGCAAAGGTGCGTTAGCCATAATCGATTATTTGCTCGAGATGTTGACTACCTCGCCTGGTATGCAGGAGGTCGTGGGTTCGAACCCGATCCTTACGTCTGCTGCTGTGTTTAGTGTTTGCGTGTCTCTCTTTCATCATCATCACGGTGGCTAGGAGATGTTAACTACCTCGCCTGGTCTACAGGAGGCCGTGGGTTTGAGCCCTACCGATACGCCTGCTGCTGTATATTTGGAGTCTGCGTCTCTTACTGGTAGGAACCCACTGGTTCCACCAGCCCACAGGGGATTATTGTGTCCGTCCATCCGTCGTGCAGGGAGGGGCTGGGTGGGGAGGGTGGGGAGGGGCTGGGTGGGGAGGGTGGGGCTGGGTGGGGGTGAGAGGGTTGGGGCTGGGTGGAGAGGGGCTGGTCACTCCGTGGTGCCCTTATAAAACTCAACGTTTAACCTACTCACGCCGGCTGTGCCCGCCCTCACAGTCGGGCATATTTGCGGAATACACCACGCCGCCGTTGACCCTGCCCATTGACCGAGCAACCCAACGTTCCTACCAGCTCCCTCCGCAGGACAATGTGTTGTCTCTCCCCGTGGCCGTTTGGGTTTTCCTCCGGGGTCCTGCGGTTTTCCCATCCACATTTAGAATCAACGTCACCACGCGTTTCGAGTGTTTGGCTGCTGCTATGAATTTCCACACGACGATGATGTTGATGATGAGCCGTCACTTCTGTGAACGATCATTTGTGATCGCCAGGTCGCTTCCAGAAAAGCTTGTAAAATAAAACAAATACTCGATAGTTATACAGCCGTGTGGGTAAATAGCAGGGTTGTTGAAGTGGTGTTTCTCGAATTACCGGTAACCGCTTTGCCAAAACCGGGTTTTTTCAATCCGGTTACCGGTGATGCAAAAACAAACTCAGATTTTAAGAACCCGAGTGGAATGTGCCAGAAACATTGTACACATTTACTTTCAATATAGAAATTAGTTTATAGACCGAAAACTGATTTCTTTACAACTGCTTTGTTACGTACGGTGCCAAAGAAGTCCAACACAGAGCAACACACATACGACGTAGACACGTGTGATTACTGACGGGTTTGTTTGCTACCAGATGCTGACGATTAAGTAACTAATCATACACATTTAAAAAACAAATGGTCATCAGATTTATTGATTTATTTACATAATTAGTTCTCATCAGAGTCACACGGGGCATAGAGTAGTGCAATCTGCAACTGTTATCATCCATCTCTCATCTTTCTGGCCTCTATATGAACTATGTCGTAGGGTCGTTGCCCGAACCGTCGATGATTACGGTGTATATTTAAATCCTTTATATTAAGTTCGCTTGCTTTCTTGCGTGCTTGCGTGCTTGCTTACGACCGTGCAAACCTTTCGGTCGTTTTTTAACCCACTTCCCGTGATCCAATCGAGCTGACATTTTGCACACAGACTCGTTGTGCGAGACAATTAATGTTCGTGAAAAAAATTTCCAAAATTTTACACTGTTTAGGGAAAACAAATTAAATATTTAATTACCAATTGTTTAATACTGCAGACAATCATCTGACCCATAGGTGGCAGCCATCTCAAGCCAGAGGACGAGAGGACTCTAGCCGCCACGCACATAAAGGATTTAGAGTGAAAAACTTTTTACGGGTTATACTTGTTTCACCATTAAAGCCACGCGCGTGTTGATTTTCCCGGTGTAGATCGCGTGACTGTGTGTCGCCCCCTCGTGATCACAGGAATTATAAACATCGGGGCGAGGACGATGCCGATGGGAGATGGAGCGACTATTTATTAGCTCGTAGGATCGCCACCGTTGCTGGCGATTTGGGTAGAGAGGCCTCCATCCAGCAGTGGATTGACCACGGCTGTTGATGAAGCTGGTCTGTTGAGGCCTCGTAATTGTATAGTGAATATACAGCAGTGTGGTATACAGTAGGGTGGGTAGAATAATACATAGTGTAATATTACAATGTATAGTCTAAGGTGTATAGCAATGCAGTATATAATTTAATGTGGGGTTTGTCTATGGCAGTGCATAGTACGGGGTATATCCGTGTGATGTAAGGAAAACGTTTAGCTGGAGGCATATTATATTTTTTGCGACGTAGAATTGTAATGTATGATTTACTGTTAGTAGCTCAGCTTATTGGAGAGTATATTTAGTATATTGATGATACTGATGTAGTTTATATTTTAGTTTTTTTACGTGGTTTGGCTGCTGCAGCTCCTTACTAATAAAATTCCTTCCCATTATTACTGCTAACCCTACTCCCTCCCTTTGATGCTGCTAATCCTACATAATGCACGGGCATAATATGACTTTGAGACCCCCCACCCTCCTACGCATTCCACAAGTAGTGACTAATCCCATATCTGCATTTTCCATAAATATGCTAAATTACTCTGTTGATATGCAAATTCCTTTGTCAAGGCGCCCTTCCCCTCCAACCCAGCTTAAATATACGCTGCTAAGCTTGGTGGTGTTCATTCAGACGCTGTCTTTCCGACAGACCTGTTCTTCACCTGAGGACGGCTGCTTGCGTTGTGGCCGAAACGTCGTGAGAATTGTATTTTATAATGTTTATTTGTATTATTTTATTATTTCCCTTCTACGTGACTTTACCGAAAGAACCAAGAAGATGAATCCCTGCAGTCACGAAAGCTTCAAATCGAAATTTACCACCTTCTGTTTCGGACATTGATTCACATTTTACTCGTGATATTTAATTAATTTAAAAAATGATTGATAGATAAACTACCCTGATTTTAACCAGCCGAACCCTAAGATCTAAATGTTCCCCGCACATAAAAAAAAATTCCGGTTATATGAATAATGTTGTATGACTGCGCTGGTATTTAAAGAGAGAGAGAGAGAAGTGAGTAAGTTTTGACTCCGCGGAAAATGTGGTGCGTCGGCTGAGTGCTCCGCGGGCCTGAACAAGTTTGAGAAACCACAGGCGACGTACGGCGCGAAAGAAGTTCTTCACGCAGCAAACCACGTGCGGCACCACACGCTGTAACATCGAGGCGCACGACACCAGAATGGACAATCCCCGAGGCGTGGTGGACAATCCCCGAGGCGTGGTGGACAATCTCCGAGGCGTGGTGGACAATCCCCGAGGCGTGGTGGACAATCTCCGAGGCGTGGTGGACAATCTCCGAGGCGTGGTGGCTGCTCGTGCCACCAGAGGACGCTAAGACACCGCATGTCGGAGCCGCAGGCTGCTGCTGCGTGAATCGCCCACGTGGCTTTTCGGGGGTTTGTAACCACGAGCCCATCCAGGGCTTTAGGGGCCGTCCATAAATGACGTCACGCGATTTAGGACGATTTTTATTCCCCCCCCCCCCTCGTCACACGGCTTCGCAAAAAGTCAGAACCCCCCCCCCTCAAATATGACGTCACAAAGCTCTGCCCCCCCCTCCACCAAAATAAAACACGCTTCAAATCGCTTTAAACTATTGTCATTGTAGTGCGTATTTAATGTGGCGCTGCACTCTGATGTTGTAGGAGAAAACATTTCTTAAAGAGTCTATTTAATTAAGTAGAACGTGTTGTCTTGATCTATTTAAAGTTGCGCATTTTGATGTGACGTCACATTTCTCACCCCCCCCCCCCCCTCGTCACGCATCGTCACAAATGTCTGACCCCCCCTCCCCACCCCTGGGTGCGTGACGTCATTTATGGACGGCCC